TTTTTTTTCAAGAATCACCCTCGTTATATTTAGTGTACCTTCGCAAAAGAAAACTCTTTGGTGTCATCGTTCCTATTAGTGTAATTACTAATTGAAATATATGGAAACCTCGCAAGTGGCGTTGTGATGCGAATATTTGATACTAGGTCAGCAGCATTACAAAGAGTGCTATTTATGAATGCTGAAAGTACATGGCATTACTAAACATTTTGCCAATATATGATGTTTTCTGCCCGATTTAAACTAACTCGCACCCAAACCAAGGCATGTCGACATTTAAAAATTACTTGTCTTAGGGTAAGCTCTGAAATAGTATAATATAAATGTAAATGAGAAATTAGGTCACGCTAGCTCACGAAACGGGAGGATTTTCAAAGTGATCTTGTGTGATATTTCGGAGAAAAAAGTTTGAAAGGAAAGTAGGTCAACCTATCTCCTAAAACAGGGAAGTATCCTGCGTAATATTTCGGAGGGAACATAGGTTAACCTATCTTTTAAAACAGCGGGTGGCGACTTTCAAAGTAGTTCAAAATCACAAATTAATAATTATCAGATTGGGTTTAGGGATAAATCGAAAAGTTGAATTTCCAGCGCACCTAACCCTAATTAGTTGATTGATATTTATTTTTTTTGGGGGGGGGGATTATTGTGCACGGGATTTGTACAAAGGATCCACCCTGTAACTAATATGGTTTCCAGCCTGCCTCGTGTCTGTTAGATAGAAGGAGTAACAAATGTGAAAGCCTTTGCTGTTCACGCGAGTAAGCAACTGACACCGTGATACATTGCATGAAAGTTTTGTCCGCGGCAGGTGTTAGCAGATGTCCTTTCGTTGCCGATGAATTTGCTTGTTTTAATTAAACATGAATTCGCTTAAAGGGAACTCAGTTAGCGGAAAGGCTTCTCTTTAATTTATAATATTAACCGGAGGAGCGCTTTTTCGAGTATCTATGCCGTTTTAAATAGGTTATATGAAAGGCTAAGGGCACCTAACTTGTTAAAATTGGCAAAAGCACTTTCGCACTTTTTTTTTCGACTGCGAAGCACTTTCGCACTCATAATTTGCTTAGAGTTAACACTGTAGGATACTCCTGTTCAGTTATCGTCTTATTGAAAACACTGCAGAAAATTTCAATGTTTTATCGGACTTTTATCAGTTTTTGAATGCCTGTAAACTGTGTTATTTTTGGGCAACCCTAAAATGCGGGAAACGGGAACGACTAGAACTACGGGAAATGCACTAAAATGCGGGAACTGCGGGAACGACGGGAAATTGCGAAAACTGAAATGCGGGAATGACGGGAACTACGGGAAATTTCACTAAAAAGCGGGAAATTTCACAAAAAGCGGGAATGACGGGAAATCACTTCAAGGTACGGGAAATATTCATTTTGGGGTATGTTTAGGGGAAATTGTTCTAGACAGCGAAAGCAACGGTAAATATACGCTTGGGGGTGTATGTACGTGAAAATTTATCTAAAATGCGGGAACGACGGCAAATCGCTTTAAATTACGGGAAATACTCATTTCAGAGTATGTTTAGAAGAAATTGCACTAGAGAACGGAAGCAACGGGAAATATACGCTTGGGTTGTGTGGATCCGGAAATTTCACTAAAAAGCGAAAAATTCCACAAAGAGGGGAAGTGACGAGAAATCGCTCTAAAATACGGAAAATATGTATGTTAGTACAATTACCCCGTACATGCACACTCAAGTATAAACGGCACTCCGGAAGTATGTGCAACAAGATAACGCACAACCTGAACCCTATTCTGGTATACATACTATGTTCAGGTTGTGCGTCATCTTGTTGCACATACTGCATGCAAATACGTTGTTGGTTCACTCCATTTGCCGTGTAAGCAACGTACAAAGCAAAGAAGAGAAGTTGAAAAACTTTTATGGAAGCCATTTCTGTGTGAAACTGCAAAATTCGAAACACAATGACTCGATTAATGGAGAAAAAATTAAAATTAGCAAATTTGATAAAATAGGAAAAGAAATTAGAAAGCAATCAAATGTTGATATTTGGGGAATATTTAGAATATTGCCTTACTACTAATTTTGTTTTATTTTGTGTTTTTATTATGATAGATTAGATTAGCTAACGCTATTGTACCAGCCCCTTTGCTGATCTAATTCGCCGTAATTTAAACGAAGAAACATTAGAAAAATACTGAACTAAAAATATTCCCATGAACTGGAAGAGAAGTCGGGCTAATCTATGGGAACTCGCGAAATAAATGAACCAAGATGGCGGACACCGGAACGTAGTATATGTACCAGGATAGGCCATAATTTTATTCCAATTTTCCTTATTTTAGTTCTATTACGAGTTCGGGACTAGCCAAGTGACTACCGTAGTATTTGTAACTGAAATTGTGGCCTAACCCTAACCTGCTACACATGCTACGTTCTGTATCCGCCATATTGGTTCACATACTTCAGGAGTACCAATCTATGAAGGGGTCCGCGCAAAGGTTCAGTAAAACTGTAGTTCTAATGCAACTACACCTAAAGTCGAAAATATCTAAAAACGCCCGTTTGTCTACTAAACAAAATGCAATAAATTTGGTACAATTAATTGAAATCGGACTGAAATTAGTTCGAGTATTTGAAGTATATCTTAGTCCAATAATAAGTATTAGTAACTGCTTGCCTCGAGCTTTATTCGGAGCAAAAGTGATAATTGCTTCATAAAAAAAGGTAGCAACGTCAAAAAACAAAGCAGTAAAAACAAATAACTGACAATTTACCTTTGAGTTAATTTTTTCTTCTTCTAATTTTTCCTAGGTTCAATCGATATGCTAGCCAGGATTCAACCAAATGATCATAAAGTGCTTTGGATCGCGTTTTGTGAAAGAGCAATTGTTTTTCTCTCTGTCGAATTTTTCTCGTGAGGCGTTGTTAAAAAAACAGATGTCTCGATGAAAGAAGAAAGTATATTTTGGGAAATTGATATTGGTAGACTGTGTAACATCTATCATCATTTACTGATTTAATAAATAATTTCAACTCTGTGGGAGAGGAATCAAAACAACTAGATTCCGTTGAACCGTTTATCAGACATCAGGGAGTATGTTTAAAATAAGCATCATTATCGGGATATTTATCATTCATACTTGGCCAACTTTAACCGCAGGCTTCAATACTCTACTTTCCCCGGGAATACATATATATATGTGTATATATATCTTGATATTTACTGACATAATTAAACATTTGATGTGGAAGTCGCAGTTGTGTTAAGCGATTACAAACTATTTCATTTTAAAATTCAAATTAGCATGAGCTGAATGACTGACAAATTAATCCTCGACATTACGAAAGGGTGCGTTGGACAATAAACGAGAAATGTCGATTGTAGGCCTATACAATGCTTACCGCCCGCCTGATACTTTAACTAGCAATAACTTATCAACATCCTATCTACACCTATTGTAGCAGTTTTTTCAACATATTTATGAATATTTTTGAATAAAATACATTTCTCACACATATATTATGGTATATATATTCTATTTTTTTTTGCGTCAATATGAGTGAAAAGACAAATGGTATTTGTTCCCAGAATTGAAAGCTTTCATGTTTTTGAAAATAAAACAACAGATGTCTCATAACCGCAGAATTATGTTGCCAAAAAGCCTATCTTGACAAAGCTGTGTAAAATCAATCAATCAACAATTAAAAAGAAATTCAGATAGATAACCGAACAGATTTTTCGTTGAATTACATACAGGGAGCAAAATATTTGTTCAAAATAAAGTGGATGTTAATCATTTCCTATCATGCTTGGTCAGCTTACTATTCCAAACTTGACTCCTTGGAATATGTATCTTTTCCAGAAATACATAGTATTTATTTTATATCAATGTCTGCTGATTTTTCTAACATATGGTGTATTTGTATTATTTGATGTTCTGACGGGAATATACCGGTAGGTAGGCTCTCACAAACTCTTTTATTTTAATTAGAACGACATGTAATTGAAACGGAAAATTGTGATTGAACAACCAAGTGCGACGCCCGACTAGAATATTTTCAGTGTAAACAAGTGAGCAACGCTCAAATATATGGACACGTGGACTAGAGCGAAGCAGGGTTTACCTTTGACGTTACCGGTACCGTACCCTCAAAAAGTTCCGGGTTTTCAGTCGCAAGAATTTTCACAGTCAGTCGTCACGCTTGGCGGATTGAAAACCGTGTTCCCATAATTAAAAATTAAAACAGCGCAATTTTGAATGAAATATTAGATCTCATAAGATTCATAGAGAATTCAGGATTAAATGAAAGTAATAGCCTTCTGGCAAAAAAATCAATCTTGAACCCCTGAAAATTCCAAAGCAATTGGTCCAGTATTCGAAGAGAAAAGCGATTTTTTAATGATAATGACGAAAGAAAATAACAATAACAACAAAATTTTGAAACGATCGTTATGGCCACTAAACGTGTCCAATAAATTAGCAACGTTTCAACGGAACGAGACCCAGCATGAAAACAAGATACGGTTACTGTCCACCTTCACAAACTAGAAAAGAGTAATTCATAAAATGAAAATACTAATGAATTCATCAATGTGAAATCCCAATTTTGAATGAACTGTTTCGCCTGATTATGCCCATAACCCGGGGGTGGGCAATTATTTTGGTGATTGGGCCAGTTACAACAATAGTCTTGGTTACTGGGCCGGAGGCTCAAAATTAGATACAAAAAACTATGAATAAAAACAGTTATATTCAACAGCTTGGCTAGCGTTTATATAATGAAAAGCGCAATGTAGCAATCGGGGCGATCATTATGACGTTATTTTCATCGATATTTTCAACGGAAGTTTATACATAAAAACTATAGCCGTAATTTCATCAAGTACAAGTGCGCCAGATGAAACACTTCGGTGGGCTGGATCCAGCCCTCGGACCGTAATTTACTGACCCCTGCCCTAACCCATAAAGACTAAGTTAGTCCATCAGTACTGTATGTATGTGTGTACACAAAATACGTTGTTTCCTTTTTCGACCGCGTGGAAACGTATTGAGCAATATGTTTTGGCAGTCCAATGTCACGCGGCTGCGTTTGCTAATATCTCTGTGATCAGGCAATCAGAATTCAGAATCATACAGTTGAATCATGCCGAAGAGACGAAAAAGTAGGCAATGTGAGTACTTTTTTCTCTTTTGTTTTATATTAGCCTATTACGACATTATGTTGCATCGGATTTCTAGATTTCCCAGTCCGGGTTTTAGAAAAACATCCAGCAGTCCAGGCATCTAGGCTAAATTGTACCGGCACCGTAACTGCTGAACTGCTAAACATCGAAAACAGATAAAAACAGAGCAATTCTTTAATTTTAGAATTTATATATTTTAGCATGTTATTCAACATTTGTTAGCAAACTTATCAAAGTAAGGAATCTATGGAATCAATTTGGAATATTTATAGTGATTTTGCAAAGTTACACTTTATTCCCAATGTTCAAAACTTCATGCATGCATATTTTTTATCTGTTTTGTACATTTGATAAATTGTTGTTGATTTTATTGTGTCTTCGAAAGCAGGACGTTTCCTACAGCTGTTTATCTATTTAGATACACACAATCTAGAATCCCAGACCCAGATTTTGCTGCATTCAAATATTTAAAATCAGCTTCATTTATATATATATATATATTATATGTGGGGTGAATTCTGGTGATCTCTCAATTATCATAATTGGACGGAAGAAGTCGTTAGAAGTCTTACATTTAATTTCTCTACCTAAATTTTGTTATTATTTCGTGTAAGTTGTTCACAGAACCTTTCAGCAATAATATGTTTTCTTAAAGCATTGCCCGATTCTGAATCATGTTTTTTGTATGCTTGTATTATTATTTTTTTTAATGGGTGAACATGTACTTTTACGTTTTTTAACTTTATTTTAACTTATGCTCGCCTTCCAGGTAACTCTGCATTTTGTTTGTTCGTCTACTTTTTGTGCTGTTTTGTTTTTATGTCAGAGTACCGAAATAAATGGTTGATTGATTGTTGTCTGACTGTTTTCATTGTGTTCGTTTCTAATTCTGGAATTGTGCTTGTTTTCCTGAATTGCTTAATAAAATGATTGAATTGACTTTCTTTGTCAATATGTCAAGTAGATCTGGGTGTCTGTAGATTGATTACCCGATTTTGTACCTTTTGGCGATTTTAATCATGTTTTTGTTTTTACTAATCCATCATCATATAGTCTAACATGTAACAAAGAATTCGGGGGTAAATATAATTATATTTTCTTCAATGCTGCAATGATATGCCTTTGTTTTACTGTGAAGTTGAAGGCTCAACGCAGCTTTATTTGGAAAATTGAAGCTTTTATTATATTGCTATTGATTCAATGAATGAAGACTGAATGCAAGTCTGAAAAGGCGACGTCAGATTTTGGTTTTCATTAAAATTTTGATAAGTACAGAAGTAGAAGTTTTGAATGCATCTGTTTATTTAAATAAACTTTAAAAAAGACAATATTTTCAGCATTCTTATAGGAAGACTGGGTTTTAGTAAATTTGATCAAAATATGGAAAGAAATACCACATTTCACTTGCAAAAACTGATTAAACCCAATAAAACATTTAATGAGAAGTTAACTGAACGGGCATTTCTTAAATTCCATTTACTTTTCGAAATGAAATTGAAAATTGCCAATTTGTCGTATTTTTGTCTCCATCAATGATAAGCGACCACAAACTCGTAAAATATTCAACCGCGTCGAGTATTTATCAACAATAGATCTGACTGACATTATCCATGTCTTTCTAGATCAGTGGTTTCCAACCGGGATTTCGCTGAACCCTAGGTTCCTTCAAATCCGAGAGTCTAAATTCATAATCATATGCGTTTATTCTGGTCTGGTGTTATATTGAATTGAAATGAATATAAGCAAATGCTTATTAACATCATCAATATTATCAAACTTCCTACACTTATTGAAATATTATTTTGTTTTGTCAATATTAGGTTTGCTTTTATATATTCAGGGTGTCCAAAAAAATTTGCATGATTTTATAGTAATACCAATTGTTTAGTTGAAATGAATTTTATTGTATTTTAAATGAGAACTACAAGCACTAGTAATAAACAATGACAAAGAAATTTTTATTCGTTATTACTATAAATTGTCGAAATTTTTTGGACACCCTTTATATTTATAGTTCGTACAATTCAAACGATAAGTGAAAATTAAACCCCTGAACAGTGGTTCCTCGGCCCTCTTAATTAAATGTTTCACTAGGGTTCTGTTCCACCAAAATGGCAATTGAAAACCACTATCCCAGATTTTTCCCCTAATAATATACCATTCATTAGTATGAATCGTTTAATGGATCTATGTCAGGTTAAATTTTCAAATTTTGTATCTTTTGCAGCAAAAAAAGCTGCATCTGTTGAAGAGGAGGCTCCGGTGGAAGAGATTCAAGATGAAGAATCTCGGGATTCTAGCTTGCAAGAAGAGGAGTCATCAGGTGAAGTGGCAAACAAAGACAGCATTGAAGATATTGACAAAAACCAAACTGAAAACAAAGACTCTTCTGCTGATGAGAAGATCAAGGACAATTCAAGTCCAAATATTGTGGGTGAAATGTCAGAGGGTACCACCAAACAGGACAAGGTAGAGGAGATTGAACCTATGGAAACCACACCTGAAGAAACCACAGCTCCCGCTGACAAAAAATCAAACGAAACCACTGCAATTGATAATTCTGCCACTGATAAAGTTGACACAGATAATGATGCAGTTGAAACACCTACAGAACCACCTAGTGGCAATGTTAACATTGAGCAAACTGTCAAACCCTCTACAACGGAAAGTGACGTTGTTCCCAATCCATCTGACGTTGCAAATCTTAATATGGAAGTAGACAAATCACAATCTGAAGAAAATCTGAATCAAATTGATAATGAGGATGACAAGAAAAATCAAGGTATGCTTTTCTGTTTCACGGTCTACGTTGTAGTACTAAGGACACAAAGTTGCACTATATAATTTATCCAAAAAGTCCATCACTGGTAATTTTAAAACATTATTCAAAAACTGATTTATTTAGTTAAAATATTAAGATGGGGCCGAGTTAAAATATTCGGATGGGACCAAAATATTGGCTATTGAATTGCAGGCCCTTTCTGATTATTTATTTCTTAATTCTGACTCGCATGTGGCCAATGCCAGTCGCATGCTTTAACCAAGATAGTCAAGTGATAAATAGGAATGACACTGGTAATCTCTTTCCATAAAATAGCAATTACCGTATATAAAAGAAAGCTCACAATTTTGTGGAAAGGGATAACATATTCCCATTTATATTATTTAATTGGTTTTACAGTGAGCCCATTTAGTATTAGTTTCTGAAAAACCCATTATTGCATTAACGTTGATCAATAATCCTGGGAGGCACGATGACCTAGCGATAAAGTCTTGGACTTTATTAGCTCACATCGCAGATTACACAATCTGTTTGAAGCCCCATGCCCCCACCTCATCCAGGGTGTGATCAATTGTTTAGTTAGACATTGCAGAACTGGACAGATTCCGGTCTTTCCAAATAGTCCAAATAATAGCAGTAGCCCCCTACCTATTGTGGGTTGTCAGTGACTGCTCTTACAGGGCCCTTTTTGGAGCAAAAGCCACGAAAAGCATTGTATAAAAATATTCTGATACTTATTTATTGTATTTTGTTGTTTACTTTTTCGAATACAATTTTATAGAAACCAATGAAAAAACAGAAACTGAGGAAGAAGGGATTCCTACTGGGCCTACCGTAGAGAAGATCCCGACATCACCTTTATGCTATGATGATGAAAAAGATGAAATTCCAATCGATCCAGAAGGAGATGAAGGAGAAGTCGTTATTGGATCTGAATCTGCAGAATTCTTGAAATACTGGCGAGCTGTTCTTGAGAATCCTCAGGATTTCACTAATTGGACTTATTTGTTACAACTCGTGGAACAGGAGGTAAATTGCATTAAAATTGTTTGTTATTAATGTTGCATTCATGGTTAGGGATTAGGAGCCTGGAGTTGTAATTTTTTATTGCAGCTTGAGCCAAGTCTATAATTTGGGGTAAATTCAAACTTCTAATCATTGAATAATTTTTCACCTTTATAATTTAAAAAAGTTGAACTCATACAATAAATAAAATCTGTGTTTTTTTAGCTTTTCGTTTAATTTTAAAATTTAAAATTCTTATTTCATAGTTTTTAGCCTGCTTCCACGTTTAGCTGGTGTTTCGTGGTAGTGGTCAAAAAGCTCAATGGCTATTATGAATTCAAACTAACTACCCAGCCCCAGTTACAATACAGACAGGATCAATCTTCCTGAAATGAATTATTTATGTGCCTCATTATGAAGTTTTTGGAACTATACAGGTTGCTTTTTTTAGTTTCGAGGTTTCAATGTCTCTCATTGAAGATATTTTTTAATCAAAACCATCAGATTATGTTTCAATATTTGAAACACTGCTTTTTTTTTCGCAATAATTATTAAGTAATCCTATTCGTCCATGCTGGTATTGGCAATATGATACTATTACAAAATAAGGCGCTCGTGAAGTGTGTGTACCAATATTGAGGTAACTAGTTTTGTTCGCCTATTTTACATCAAGTTGTGTAAAGGTGAGGAAGCCTATGGGCAGGGGGTATATTCACTTTGCTAACCTAAACAGTCCCTAACTCGTAATATACCTAAAACAAGGAAAATCGGAATAAAATTATGCCCTAATTCTAACCTGGTTCACATACTATGGGAGTATCTGAAATAATACTTTGATTCATAATATTTCCATTATTAATAACATTCCACCATCAATTCTTGTCATACTAATGACATTTTTGAACATTACTTTTTTCAAGAATAAGTCTCCTCTTGCTCGTCGGGCTTACAATGGATTTTTTAAACGATATCCTCTCTGTTACGGATACTGGAAAAAGTTTTCAGAAATGGAAAAGCGTCATGGAAATTACGTTCGAGCCCAAAGGGTGAGAAATTTAAATCCATTTTTTCAAACATTGTTCAATTTGCTTTGATATTTTGGTCTTAAAATTTTTATTCTTGTGGCGTTTCCTTGTGTGTTAACAAAAACCACTTTTCCATCTACAGATAAGTACAGTCTCGAAATCTGGTGTTCAGCACGTCCCGCTATTTGTAGCGATGGCCATATCAAATTCTACCATTTGTTATTTATTGAATTCTTGTTTTTGTATTTTCAATTTCATTGTTATTTCACGTTTTATTAGTTCTTGTATATCAATGTGCATGAATTTTTGCCATTCATATATTCTTTACTATACTGCATTATGTTAAATGCATTGATGATATTGTGCACAAATTGTGCTAAGTGATTTAAATTTTTCCCCATCTTTGATGGGACTGCCTGTGATGACTGCCAGTCCAAGATATCATCGACAACTCAAAAGTATGGAAAAGGCAGCAATGGCAGGGAATAGAGACAATAATGGTAATTTGTAATCTAGGTGCAAAATCTGTTTTTATTAAAGTTATCGTAGTCTGCAATCTACAAAAAAAGCACTTTGATTGACTTTGAATCAATGTATCTAGATTTTGGAAAGAGGTGTCCGTGCTATACCTCTCAGTATTGATCTGTGGGTTCATATGATAGATTTCTACACAACCAATTATAAAGGACCTGACGCAGGGAAAGAAAAAGTCAAAATGTAAGATTTCGTTACTAAAGTAGTCATATTATTCATAAAGATAAAGTTGTATCCAATTCAATATAAATTTTTTCAACAATCAAAAAATTCTTAAAATTATTGTCATTGGAATTATTATCATGAAATTGTAGGCCACAATAAATAAAATGAAATAGTTGAAAACGCTTTTCGCTAACGCCAGGAAAATTTTCTTGTCAATGTGCATTTCATGATAAAGGAAATAGTTCACTGACAATGTAGTTTATTGCTGCTTAATTGAGAATCCAGAATTATGTGTACCAATATGGAGGTAACTAATTTTGTTCGCCTGCTCTACATCAAATTGTGTAAAGGGGCGGAAGCCTATGGGCAGGGGGATGTTCACTTGGCTAACACACACAGTCCACGAACTCGTAATAGAACTAAAATAAGGAAAATCTGAATAAAATGGCCTAACCCTAACCTGGTACACATACTACGGGAGTACCCTTGCCACACTATATAATGATATAATAAAATGTAAAATTGAATTGTTCATTACAGAATATTCGAGCGAGCTGTCAAAGCAGCAGGGCCTGAGTTCCGATCTGAAAAGTTATGGAACAAATACATACACTGGGAACAAAGCAACAAAGATTGGAATGCTGTCATTGATATTTATGACAGAGTACTGAAACTACCTACACAACATTATGCTATATTTTTCAAGGAGTAAGTGGTGTTAATGATATTTAAATTTTTTCTGACTTATTCTATAGCAGAGGTGGGCAAGGTTTTGAACCAGGGGCAAAAAATTTTGCCCACCTACTGGCAGGCCATTTAAGTGTGACATGAAAAGTTACATTTTATGAACAATATTTACAGTATTACAAAAGCAAAAGTGGAAAACAATAAGCCTCGTGCCGAAATTGAACCTGATCGCAATCTCAACAAATTTCTAGAGCTATTTTCAGCTAAAACATCAAAATTTGGTTTCAGTTTAGTTGTGGCAGCATCAGGCGGTCCAGATTAAACTACCCAACGGGCAGGATTCAGTCCGTGGATCGTAGTTTGCCTTTGTCAGTTCTATAATCTGGGTAAAAAGGGGTATTTGACATATGAATCTGAAAATAATCCTGATTTGTGCAGGTGTTTTTTTATAAAATAAAAACCTAAATTTGCAAATCATGTCTATCTAAAGATTCAGATATAAAATTCTTTTTGATTTAGTTACAAAGAATTTGTGATGTCCCGATCACCAAAGGAGATTCTGTCGTATCAGGAATTTGAAGAAATGTTAGAAGAAGTTCGAGATGATGCAGATGCCTTGGAAAAAGATAAAAAGAAAGATGCAGAAGATCAAGAGATGCAAGAGGATGTGGATGATGATGCTCCTCCAGGTGTAGAATCGAATGACAGAGGAAAACCTCCCGTAAGTCATTTTCATCTGAGTCTCTCTCATAGAGTTTGTATCGAAAAATTGGATTCATTATTTTCATTCAAAAAATGTTGTGATTGGTGCTGCAGTCAGTAAACTTTGATTGTTGTGTTGAGTTTGTGCAAAAAAATTATTACATTTGATAAGTGTTGGAAAAAAATTAATAATTTTAGGTAAACTATTGTATTAAAATCTGGGGGTGACCGTACATTTGAACCCATGTACATTTGAACCCATGTGTATATCTGCGGGTTCAATCTATATGCGGGTGCTAAAACCCATGGGTTAGGGTTAGTGTGGGTTCAACTATCCGAAAAACAAAAAAATTCCATAGGTGCAATAGCATACAGGTACAATTGTCATGGGTTCAAATGTACGTGGGTTCAAATGTAATGGAACCAAATCTGGGTACTCTTGAAGTATTTGAACCAAGATGGCGGACACCGGAACATAGTGTATCAGGTTAGGGTTAGGCCATAATTTCAGGTCAAAATGTGAGTCACTTGGATAGTCCTCGGACTCGTAATAGAACTAAAATAAGGAAAATTGGAATAAAGTTATGGCCCAACCCTAACCTGTTATGCACACTGCGTTCGAGTGTCCGCCATCTTGGTTCACATACTTTCGGGAGTACCAAATTCTGTATATATTTCAAATTGTGATCGTTACTCTCGGTTCATTTTGTATTCTTCAATATTTTTCTGTGAATCATGTTACAGTTTTTTTCTGAGCAGGCCCATTCTAATTTGGATCATACAAATTCTTGCAGGAATTTCCCTAGAAAAAAATTTACCAGAAAATTAAGTAATTATTCAATTATTTTTTGCAGAATGAAAAGGAATTAAAAGCTGTTAGTGAGAAGATAATTGAAAAAAAGAAGAAAATGTTTGATGAAACTGAGGCATCTGTCACAAAGATATGGACCTTTGAGGAAGGAGTAAGTTTTAATAATATTGATTTTTATGAGTTTGGATTTTTTTCATAATGCTTTGTGACATTGTGATTTTGATAAAGTTTGAATGGTCAGAAATATCCATAAGATTTCAGATCCTATGAAACAAACAAAAAATTTCTGAAAATAAAATTCATAAATAATTTTATTACTGAGTCACAATATACAAATTGAAAAATATATCTTTCCTTGGTTCATGATATTTTTATCTTTCACAAAATCACACATCTGGAATAGTTTTCATAGGTAATTACATCTCATAAATGTTTCTGAATGTATTTTACAATTCATTTCTAGATAAAGAGACCTTATTTCCATGTAAAAGCATTAGAGCGAACACAGATCAAAAACTGGCGTGATTATTTAGAAGCTGAAATTGGCCGTCAAGATAACGCGGAGCGAGTCGTATTATTATTTGAAAGATGCCTTATTGCATGTGCCCTTTATGAAGACTTTTGGCTGAAGGTTTGACTTTGTTTATACTGTTTTTAAATTTTGTGTGAGTTGGTGCCTGATACTTGATACGTTGATAGTCATTGACTTCGTGAGAGGGTGCTTGTAGTTGTTGGAGATAACAAATACCGTATTGTGTATTTAAAACGCAGTTGATTTCGATTTTGTAATAGTTTCATGTCAATCATTTGATTGACTGCCCTGATGATCAAGCCTTCCCAATTGTGTCTTCAAATGGAGAATATGAAAACAATTCAGGGTGCGAGTTGCACATATCACAAGCCAATGATCCATTAAATCTGGTGTGCAAACTGCGGCCCACAAGGTACAACCGTGCGGCTCGTGGAGAAGTGCCAACGTCTCACAAGTTGATTGATTAATAACAACAACAATAGACATTAAAAGCGAATGTAATTAAAATCTGTGGTACAGCTGATATGGTTTGAGCGGACTATAAACCACTAATATAACTTGGAATGCGGAATCTTTCAATACATGCGAATACAACATGTCAAAGCAGATTTATTTGGCCATTCATTTGAATACTGTATATTCCCAATGTACCACCAGTTATCGCTTGCGAAAGATATAAGGCCATTTTCCGAGACTTGCCGTTTGATGCAAGTCAGAGAATTTAGCACTTTTTCATGTCATTAAAGCAAATAAAATTGTAACATTCAATGATTATGATTGTACTTATCTTTTGTAAATACAGTATGCGAGGTATTTGATGAAGTCTGATAGCTCACGTGCAAGAGATGTTTATCGAAGAGCTTGTCAAATACATTTACCAAAGAAACCCAATATTCATCTACACTGGGCAACATTTGAGGAATTGGAAGGTAATTAACTTTACATAATATGTATGTTGTTGACTCTTCCCTAGACAGGCAAAGCCAAAATAGTGTTATTGTGTGTTACAATAATAGTGTTACAATATTTCAGTGTAAATATTTTCGCGATTGGTTCTAAGATTTTTCGAAGATGGAAAGGATTTATAATTTTAAGGAAATTCCAATGCTTTTTGATAATCAGTTTCTTGTAAAACTGTTGCCACTAGTAAATCATAATTTATTTTTCTGTGTAGGTAAGTGCTGATAAGTTGTTCTAATCATATAACCTTGTCTGGTGACATTTCTGGTTACCAGTCTAAGTATTTTGGGGACAGTGCAGAAACAATAAGGTTGTCACCCATCGGGGGTTATGTGAACCATCCTGTGTGTGTCATGACTGAATATTCTTGGCACAATAGACTGATCGTTGAGACCAGAAATATTATTTATTTGTCCAGTAAGGTTCATTTACATAAAGTATTTATGTTATTCGGCGGTGTGGCTCATCATGCTAAGAATACACTCGCGACGCACATCTGATTATCCTGCATGTATTCGCATCCCATGGGGGAAATTATGCGCGAGAGGATTGTTGGACCCCTCGCCGCTGTAAGGTGGTGCACGTAACCGCTGGTTGTGATCCATGCATCTGAAACAAATACCAGGCTAACTAATCCCATACCCGACGTAACCGGACGATAGGCCGTGGTTTACCATATGATTCACCCTCTCCTTAGGATATATAGGTAAATCCTATCCTATTACTAGTTTGTGTTTGATTTCCAGGACATCATGATGTTGCTGCTAAAATTCTTGAAGATCTTGAGAAAACCTTGCCAAACTTGGCCATGGTTAAATTACGAAGAGTTGCAATTGAAAGGAGAGCTGGAAATATTCAGGTTGAGATCCTTTTTTTTTTTATTACTGATGTTTTCCACGGCTCTGCGATGGTACCTAACGCTGATATGTGTGGCACTGGCACTCTAGCCTGAATTTGTTTTACTGCCATTTTTATCATAAATATTTGTCCAAATTCTCACAATTGTTACGTCTGGTAGTAAAAATCCAGCATCAGAAAAATTCTGTATACCCTCTGATTATAAACTGTCCAAGCATGAAAAAAATAAATAATTCAAGAAATGGTTCTAGTGTGGTCTATGTTCTTTTTACTGCTACACGTGCGCTTTAACAAGAATTGATTTCAAATTTTTTTTTTAGGCTGCTGAAGATATCATGAAAGGTTATGTATCTGCTGCAGAGAAGGGAACTGACGAATGTTTCTACATCAGGAAATATGTTTGGTTCCTTGTCAAGGTAAAACTAGATGATTACTTGAATAAGTTAACAAAAATATTGTGTTGTATTTCTGCAAAATTAGCTATGTCATATAGCGTAGATACACCGCACTATACAGTAAAGGGTACTCCTGTAGGCTGTAGTATGCGAACCAAGGAAGCAGTAAGTGTACCAGGTTAGGGTTAGGCCATAATTTCATGTACAAATACTTAGGGATGCGACAAGATTCGGACTCGTGCTCGGATTCGTGGCCGAATCTCTCGTAATTTGATACTCGGATTCGGCCCGAGTCTCTGATGATTTTACCCGAGTCCGGGATATCGTACGTCACGCGATAGTCAAGCGCAGACTGGTGGCGGATTCGACGAGAAATTCGAGAGTTTAGTGACTGTTTACCACGTCCTATTTCAAGCGTTTACCACGTTCTATTTCAAGCGTATACTTGCTAATCCTCTAACAGTGAATAATCCGTAATCAGCGGTAACCATGTCGCGCTGTTCGCCTTTTATCGTTCCATAAATGATCTAGCTATTTCCGGAGAGAAACAAATGTTAGAAATAAAACGATAAAATAGTGAAAATTACGGTTCTTTTAAGAGAAAAGTACAACTCGCAGATGTCAGTGGCGTTACAATCGTATATATGTACAAAAACAATCTCGCAAGTCGCATCGATTAAATGTGCATAAATTTGGAAACTATTACTCGTGGTAATTGGATGTTAATCGGGCCGACTTTTTATTTTTATTCAGTAATTATTTACATACACCGCGATTAGTGACGGGCAAAATCGAATTTTTCCTGATCGAATAATTCGACTACCGTATTTCTTTTAATTTACCGATAGTAGAAAATTACCAGAAGACTGGAGACTCGATAACAACGCGGCGTCTTTACTTCTTATCCGTAATTTTATCACAATCGTGAATTGTTTTTTTGTCACCGCGATCGTTTCGGCGACCGACATCCTAATTATGGTTGGTAAACTATATTTTTAAAGCACCCTTTTTTCACTATCAGTTCTCACGCAAAGCCGGACATCGAAGTTTCGTTTTTTATATTTCAGGCAGAAGTGTGAGTACAAATCGGCGAAGATATTAAAGACGGCTATTAATTAGTGAATTCATAAATATATTAATTTTATTCTGGCCTCATCTTCTGGATTTGATCTTCCATATCACAGTTTGTAAATTACGGTCCCTATTTTAAGCGAACAATACCTACCTAATAAATAAAAACTCCGGAAATTTACCATTGCGTGCTGTTTCGAGTTATGGCATTTCTACCTAGTCGAAACAATATTTCCATATAATACATAATTTACCTGCCTCACTCAATCTGGTTTGACGTTTCTATATGTGAAAAGGTGTTGGCGCGCTTTATGCAAAATTGGGAATTGTTAGATAACGATAGGCGCAGAAAGAAAACCATAATAATTCTCACATTTATCGTTTCTGTCTGTTAGCGAGAGTCGTATGTGAATTCTTACTCGTAACTCTCACTTCTAAATTAATGTTAATAAATTTGATTTTGCTTTTCAAAGCGCCGTTATTTGTATTAATGAAAATGATTGTGTCATACAGCCGTAACTTAGCATATAACACATTTCGCCTTTTGCGTCTCTCTTATTGAACCAAAATCAACAATTACACATTCTTATTTTCCGCGGATTCGACAATCGCTATTGATGGTTTTCAAACGAAGAATAGCTAGCTATTTTGTTACGATGTATTTATAAGATGCATTTATTCGATGCTTCCACAGTTGGCAATTCTTTATTAATATCTCAATTATCACGGAGATGGGCGTCTGTATCAGCGCCGACTAAAAAAGATAACATACGAGTAATAATTTCCCATAAAAAATTTGTTCCAAACGTGTGGGTTATGGACCGTATTTATCGTGACAGGACACGAGCGCGGCGTCTTCAGCAGTCGACGCGGCGGTCGATCCGAGTTACGTAACAAAGTATTCCTTCGACGGGGAATATGACCTATTTATTCTAATTTAAACTAGTCGCTCAGAGAATGATTGTCTCGAAAGCAATAGTGTTTATGTGCAACGTTTTAAATTACATAGTCTTTTCATACAGAATGTTTAATTTACGGCCAATATACGAGAACAACAGCATCACTTTAGGTATTTATTTCGTAGCTATGTAAAAGTATTGGACTCGGGACTCGGACACGAGTCCAGCACAAATACTCGGGATTCGGCCGAGCCGAACCTTTTTGGATTCGTCGCATCCCTACAAATACTACAGGAGTCACTTGGCTAGTACCCGAACTCGTAATAGTATTATGGCCTAGCCCGAACCTGGTTAACTCACTACGTTCTGGTGTCTGACATCCAGGTTCGCATACTACATTAGTACCAAGTAGAGTTAAACTTTCAAATGATGTAGATTCATATCTGTTATTCATGGTACTTGTGCCACTGGTGTGTAAAGTAATTTTCACAACCATAGCTATTATTATAACTTCTTATTACTATTCATCTGTCATGAATTTAACGGAATTTTCACTTTGTTGATTTCACCCCGAATTGTCTTTTGAATGTTTTATTTACTTTGTTTTCCAGGTATCAAACAAAATTGATGAAGCCAGACAAGTGCTTAAGGATGCTATACAAGCCAATGCTGATAAGGTAGGGAAATTGTTTTCAAATCTGAATTCTGCTGGTAATCTATTTTTACTCATTTTTTTTCTTTTGACCTTAACTTAAACTAGAGCTGCGTGCAGCTTTAACAGGCTTCCCGCATAAAAAAAACTGAAGACGCGTTTTGCTCACTGGAGCGTGAAAGCGTGGTCAGTCATGCATGAAATTTGCAATTTATGATGGGGGACTTATTATCTGCATGTGATGTAAATTTCAAGTCTCTAAGTAGTGTCGTTCTCAAGAAGAAGATGAAAATCCTATATTGCTCACTGGAGCGTATCGCCGAGGTCACTCATGCGTATCCTTGACATATTGTATCCGGGACATGTCCATTAATCATTGTTATGAATTTCAACCCAATACCATGTATCAATTTTGAGAAATCGCAAAAAAACTGAATACGCTTTTTGCTCACTGGAGCGGGAAAGCGTGGTCAGTCATGCATAAAATTTGCATTTTATTGCTAGCTGAGAACTTCTGCACATTTGAGGTGAATTTCAAGTTTGTAGGACCAATTTGAAAAAATAATAATAAAAATAAATAAATAATAATAATAATAAAACACAGGAATACAATAGGTTCCCTGCTGACAAGCAGCGGGAAGCCTAATTATACATTCTAGTGATATTGATTAGTGGAAGTGTTTAAATCAAAAATCTTTTTCTTGTTACATTCCAGCTTCAGTTGTACAAAGATCTGGTAGGTTTGGAGTTTTCTCATGGAAGTGAAGACCAAGTTATAGCTGCTTGTGACCTGGCTTTAGAGAGTTCTCTTTCAGATGAAGTGAAATTTCAATTTTCACAGCGGAGGTTGGAATACCTTGAAGATTTTGGAACTGATGCCAAAAGGTAAAATTACTAGTCTCTCTTCTGCATTATTCAAGCAAAGTGTTACATTGATCCTAATTGACATGTTCTTTTGAGTAATTGTTATGTATATGATTATGGCTTGAATGGAAAATTTTCCTAAATTATTACTTTCGATCTTAAGATCGGTAAGTATGTTGATAGGTATTTGTCTGTTTGTTTGCCTGTTAGATACACGCGATATCTCACGAAAGCGAGGATGAATCCGCTCCAAATTTTGCATATGCATAATGCATTCATCATATCTCGGATCAGAAGCCTATCGATTTTGGATGAATTATGTCGTATAATTAGCGAGTTATTAATTAATTAGTGATGGGACACAAGGTGTCACTATGGAGTAAGAGCGCTGTTTTGGGGGATCCCCTAACTTTCGATTGATAAGTCTTCGGTCTCTGATCGATATTCTCGTTTCTATAATCGTCTGCTAGAGCAGATTTTCCCAAACCTTTTGGGTCGCAGACACCTAATTGTGAATCTTAGTTTTGACGGACACCCCCATCCTAAGCTGTATCAATTTCTGTGCCTAACCAACTAGGAAGGATAATGTTTCATTAACAACACAACAACATTAATATGATGAATGAGGTTGCTTTTCACAAGGTATTGTATTTTGTCATCATTGGTAAGAGCGGAAAATGCCTCGCACATGTAGGTTGTTGCAAAAGGCAATTAAATTGTAATTGATTTTCTTGATAGCAATGGATATTAGTCTGCAACGCTCAACCAAAAAAATGCAATCGCTTTTTGATTGAAATCAATTATTAAAGATTGATCAGACTATTTTCATATCGTTGCATACCCCAGTTTGGAAAACTAGGTGCTACCTAAATATTTCGATTTCAAACACTCTGTGTGTGCTTTACTTAAACAGGATGCAGAAAGCTTATGACGATCATCAAAAGTTGTACAGAAGTCATAAGAAGAGAGTACAAAGCGTATCAGAAACTTCTGCTGTTCAACCTGTTGCCAAGAAGTCAAAAACAGAAGTTACAAGTCCAGTCAGTGGTGGCAATAAGATCATGACAACAGCCTCAAGGGGACAGTGAGTGCACAATTTGTTTTTTTATTTCACACCAGGGAATCTAATAGTGATTGTTATTCATGCAGCAAAAATACTTTTCTCTTCAACTGCTGACTGATCGCTTCTAAATTTTCACTGTTCATAACTAGATGTTTCTCTCGGAAATCTAATTTTCTAACTTTTTCTGTTTATTAAAATCGTATCAGCCATTGTTTTTTGCTGATAATTTTTGACAAACCTGTATTTAATAGCAATTTTTCTAGACCAGGGGTGTGCAACATTTTTTGACAGTTGGCCATAGCTGGGCCACACACACACAAAAAAAAATTTCTTTCATGTACACAACGAATTAGTGACAACCAGAGCGCCTCGTAAAGGCGGGAGAATGCTGCTATCTCTTACCCATTTCAGTAATAAAGCCACCGGGCAAAACGGCGAACAGTTTAAAGCAGCAACAAAAACAAAATCATTAGGGTTTTATGACTGACTAAGAATAATCTGAGTGTTGACAAGGTCCACACTAGCTTGGCGGCTGCAATGTGGCCCGCCTATTACACACCCATCTTCTTGATGAAAGTAAACTACTTTTGGTGGCATATTCATATTTTTTATGTTGCTGGTGCAATATTAGCCAAATATAGGTTTCATTACTTTGTGATGTATATCTTTTTACAGCTGTTAATCTAAATTTACTCAACATGGTAATCAGTGCTCCAATGGACTGAGCATTTAAACTTTCCAAATATGATGATATATCGGCCATCTTCTTTTTAGTGTCGAGTCATCAGTAATGCATATAATATTGAGGAGGATCTCGTAGGAGCCATAATTATATTCTGCAAATCGATAGGCTCCAACTTAAATCATAAACGATTCTCTTTTAATCTAACTTATGTATATTTTGTTCTCCAAACAGATATTCTGCTAAGCCAACAACCAACGGCACTTACTCCACTAACCAGGTAACAGTTTCTGCACAGCCACAATCAGCAACAACAATTCAGAGTACACAGCAAGTTTATCCACAAGTCGCAGCAGCAAGTGGCGATCCAAGTTTATACTATCAAAACTATTGGAATTACCAGCAGAAACCAGAGGTAATTGATTTCATATGCTTTCTACACTTTTCTTTATCCTCATTCAGTTATGTAACTTATTCAGGGGCTTGGCACAGACGGACTAACTCGAAAAAAGCTGTTTTGAGAACGTTGTTGTAACTTTTATTGAAATACTTTGTGGGGTACTCCTGTAGTGTGTGTACCAGGTTAGGGTTAGGCCATAATTTTATTCCGATTTTCCTTATTTTAGTTCTATTACGATGATGTAAAGTAGGTGAACAAAATTAGTTACCTCCATATTGGTACACACACTTCTGGAGCGCCCTTTGGGGAATATTGCTTCATCGCAAAGTCCATTTATTTTACCGCAAGTTCTTCAGCTACCCATATCAGTATTCTTAAGTTTCTTCTATTCATAATTCTGATAAAACAGCCACTCTCAGAATTTGTTTTTAATCAAAAACAATGCTATTTATGGATATAAAACTGCATTTAAACTAATTGCTATTTTATAGAAAAAAATTTAATTTTAAATGGCTCATAAATCATTGTATATTCACTTTTCATTATATTTTTTACTTTTTATCAGGTGCAGCAATATAATTATAGCCAGTGGCCTCAATATTCCCAGCAATATTATCAGCAATGAAGAAAACAACATTAAAAAATAGAAGAACAAACAGTAACTTGAAAATAAACAACAAAACAAATTTAAAAACCAATCTTGCCCTATAAAGCAGTTTTATATTGACATTTCATTTATAAGAACTTATTAAATGATTTGATTTCATTCAGTTTTGATTTGAAATTTCATTTTCATGAAGTGTGATTTTTTGGACTGGATTATCGACCGATGAAGATAATTCGAACTTCCAAGTCATTCAATGGGTCTGACTCTATTCCTTGAAACCATAAACACTGTCATTCTCCCACCAGTCATTGTTTTTTTCAGTTTTGGTTTCTTTCTTTATATGTTTTGCCTGAAAATTATGTTCCAAGAATATTTGTTCATATTTATGCCTTAATTTGTGCTGACGGATTCCCAAAACAAATTTTTTTTTCAATTATCATTTTGAATTTCTCAATTTATAGAGAGTAATACATTAAAATCTCAGATAAGATAACCGTGACAATAAATAGGAATCAGATAATAAGGTGATATTTTACAGAACTCATTATTTAAGATTAATTTGTGCTTTGCTTGAATCATTATTTGAAAATTTCTTGATTTGGGAAGGTTATTTCGAAGTTTCCTTTTGTGAAACTGGGGCAAAAAAGTTGGAGCTGACCGCTGAGGGTATAATTCACAGAACTCATTATTTAGGATTAATTTGTGCTAATATAATAATAATAAAACCCCTAATTCATTATTATAAAATTTCTTGGATTTGGGCGATTATTTTGAGGGGATTTCTTTTGTAAAACTGAGTCAACAAGTTGGAGCCGGCTACTGAGGTGATACTGTACAAAACTCATTGATTAGAATTAATTTGTGCTTTTTTGTAACCTATATCATGAATTTAGAGAATGCTTTCAAAATGTAATGCTGAGGCTTGTAAAACCAATTAACTCACCCTCTTTGAACCACTTCTCCTTGTAGCACTCTGTGCCCTTCTATTGATGTGTTGGCCTACAACTGCCTTGGGTGTTGATGATTTTTGTGTAGGTTTGCGACGATCAAAAGTTAATACTTTCTCTGTCTGTGATCCGAATGATACCTACCATTAGAAAGTAAATTGTAAACTTTGATGGATTGAACGAAGATGTAAAATAAATTCAAAGAATTGAATCAATTTGTTCTGTCTACTGTCTAGTGTCTATCTATATTATTACAAGAATTTTAAGACATTTTAGAAGCGTGTATAAATTTGTAAACTTGGGTATTTATTGTCTTTACCTCGCTTAGAAGCTCATCAGCTGTGTCGCTGAACAGAATATTCTGTACCTTGGGAGTTCTTGTGGCTGACTTCCTCTTCGGGACATTATCAATCGGCTCTTCCTGAATGAACAAGGGACATAATATAACCGTACTCAAATTTTGCTGACATGCGAGCGCATGCAAATCTTATTTTAAACTGAATATTGATTGATATCTATACTGTGACCTCGACTTGACGTGTATCTGAGGTTGGACGATTTCATCATAGATAGGGTATACTGAAGGCCGATAATTAATAAGTGATTTCATTTCGCTTTTCCGTCAAAACAAACAAATATACGGAAAAGTAGGCAAAATCTAAAGAAGATCTAAGCTAAGACGCGCTGATGCACGTGCCCACTTACCCCAAACAACACTTTGAAGTAAATTATACAAAAAACATGAAAGATAATTCGGGGATTAATACTTAGGATTAAATTTATGAAAGCATGATGGTTGGCGGAGCAACAGTATATTTGAAAAAAAAACGTTTTCTTTTGGTTAGTGTAATTGTAACTTCATAGGAAAGAGGATCCGCAACAAAATAGGCTTTTTGTACGTAAGGTTATCTTGCAAATGTTCCAAGACCTATTTTCCTTTGCATTTGAAAGACTGAGGCCCCAGAATCCATATGAACACTAACCTTCAATTTTAATCTAACATTCATTTATAAATTCGTTTTTGGAGGCTTATTCCGGAATTTAATTTTGCTAATTTATGATATATAGGAATCTTTATCTAACAATACTTGGTACTTAGCGTATCACCTTTATTCGTTTTGGCTCTGGTTGTGTACGATGTCTCGGTCGTCTTTGAAATGTTTCAGGACTGAACGAACACTAAATCGAAGAATTAAGCAGTGTAGTAAGTAATTAATAAACGGTTAAATTAGTCGAGGTCATATATGAACGGTCTCGTCAGTTCAAAGTTTAATGACGGGTCATTTTCGAATACCTGGTGATGTCAGAATCAAATATTTATCCAGCCATAGTTATAATGCATCGATCAAATTTGATAGATCTGAAACCAGTAGTGAGACCCACCATCACCGAAATGGAGCCAAGATCTGAATTTTTGTGCAAAAATTTGCAAGCACATCTGCCTCAATTAAAGTTCCTGAGAGTTGCGAAAATATTTGGCCGAGCCAAGTGGGTCGTGATAAAAAAAAGTTTGAAAAACACTAAAAGGGCTAAACTCAACTTTACCGACATTGCTTGCTAGAAATCTTTGATTCGAATGCTACGTCCGCCACCTCACCCATGTTGTAATGAATTGGGTGGTCAATGCGGAATCGTGTTCTTCCAGATTGCGATAGCTTTTCATTACTTAGCAGTGGCCGCTTGTGCGTAAACTTATTCAAAGCGAATGGCGTATGAATACACGCTCTACGAATTAAGCTTCGAACGCCAAGAAATGTTCTCCATGTCTGAGCAAATTTCGGTCGAAACATTGACTTTTATTTGGGCGTGCATTTCAAGTCTATCGGCCTACTACATTTCAATCATTTTTACAAACTTGGTGATTTAAATAAACCTGTTCCTGCAATAATTTTGCTTCCTCCAACTTGATGTTTTGTTCCTGGAGAAGAACTATCTCGCACTCTTTGTCCTTCAAATCAAATTCGAGATTTTTAATTTTTTTGTTTTTCTCAAGAACCTCGTCCTCTCGTTTCATCAATTTCTCTCCCACCTCATTCAAGGATTTCTCAGTTTCTTTCTACAAAAAACAAAGAGTATTGCTTGACCCTAGCTCCCAAAAATCGAATTCATAATTTCATGAGGTAAACTCCATTTAAAAAAATAAATTGAAGATACTTTACATTAATTATCTTATATATCGCCCTAATCTGAAAAAAAAAAATCACGTCAGGCCCCGTCGTCGATAGTTTTGGAATGGATAAAAAGGTTCTTCGCGCGCACGATTGATTGTCTCGTAATGTAAAATTTTGCCATTCACAATGTCTAATAAGCATTTTTAATTAACCTGTCGCGGGGCCCTAATTAAAACGCAACTTATGGGCAGTGTTTACCGTCACTGGACAAACTACGGTCCGCGGGCCAAATCCGGCCCGTTGAGTAATTCAATTTGGCCCGCCCGATGCTGCCACAACCAAACTAAAACTACATTTTGATATTCGGTGAAGTTCTTGTTTGGTGCGAAAGGCGTCGTATAAAAAGATCTAATCAAAACTACCGAAAAATGCCATCCCTATTTATTGTATAAAACTCACCAATTGCATACAGAAAACGTTGACATCCCTTTTCGATTGTCTCAGGGCCTGGTCGGCTTTGCTTGATACATCTTTTAATTGTTCTACTTCTGTCATTAAGTTACTATTTTCATTATTCTTTTCTTCGACCTTCTGGCCATACTCTTCGATCTACATATAAAAATGTGGAAATTTCTAGATGAGTTGGGGAATAATACAAAACAGAATAGAGTCCTGTAATGCCCGGTTCCAGTAATCTGGAACACTTACTTCATAAAAACAGCAATAAAGATCTAGCGACATTTAAATTGGACTTATTCGTTGCGAGTCTCGCTTTGAATTATCTTCTTTTGTGTATGTGTGTATCTATTTGAACCTACGAGATAGCTCGCAACGACTCTTTATATATTTTCTACTGTTAGAATTTATCGTTCGCGACCTTTTATGTAATCTTTAAAAACAAATTAGTAATTGGCTCCTCATTCACGATCGGCGGGTCATATTCTACAATAAATTCTTCTGTCGTATGATCGCAAAGATATTGCGCTCAGGACTTAAGTATCTTGCATGTGTTCGACTAGAACAGTAGTCGTGACCAAGGTTTTAAATGAATCAAAGCATAGTATGATATAAATATTATTATATGAACGACTTTGATCATTGTCATTGCGGACACAAAACACAGCTACGTAATAACCAGAGGTAGGGTTCTCGGAAAAGCGTGATAATCGGCGAATCATGTCTGACATACCCCAGATACGCCACTGATGTGACGTACTTGTATTGTTATAGAGATAAGACAACGGCATGGGTTTCTGAAATGACAGAAAGCGCAGTTAGTGAGTTCGATAAAAGAGATAACCCGTTCTTGCTATCTTGAATCCCATCACCACGCTCATAACCGCTGGCAAACCAAGTGAAAACTAACCTCTGATTTCAACTTTTCATTTTCCTCAGTTATATTCTTCACCTTTTGATCAGCTTCTTTGACTTTTTGAGTGTTTTGTCTGTGATTCAATTTTCAGTTTTGTCATTTGAATTAGAGAATCGTACTAGAAATCATTGCCTACTTTACGCACAATTATTAGTAAAGAAAAGAGGGACTGATTGTATCACCACAAAGGAGTTTATTTATGTTCGCTTCTTATATATCAACGAATGCTTGTTCGGAACGAATGATGTGACTAAGATACGCATAAAAATATAGGTAAAATAATAATATCTCACATCATCGACCATGCACTGAAATGGGTACTTCCGTAGTATATGTACCAGGTTAGGGTTAGGCCATAATTTTATTCCGATTTTTCTCATTTCAGTTCTACACATAGGTTTCAGTCCCTTTACACAACTTGATGTAAAGTAGGCGAACAAAATTAGTTACCTCCATATTGGTACACATACTTCTGGAGCGCCTCGAAATTACCAAAAAATTACTCAGAGAGAGAGGGAACTCCACACTCAAGAAGAAGACTAGTTCCTTACTTTAACTTCTCTTTTTCTTGTTTGAGATTCTCTTCGAGTATTTGCTTAGTTTTCTCTATATGTTGATATTTTTCGTTCATTTCTTGAAGTTTTCTGGCTTCAACGGTTGCTCCGGCATTTGTCTCGGACAATTCTTTTTTGAGTCTATTCACATTCTCGCTACCAACAACATGAATGGCGTTCAGATCGGATATGTTTTACCTATTTTGATCTCAAATAGATTTGTCACGCTTTTAATTAATCCGATTTTCCTTACTTGAGTTCTATTTCGAGTTCGGGGACTGTCTGTATGAGCCAGTTCCCGAACCCTTTACACAACTTGATGTAAAATAGACGAACAAAATTAGTTACACCCGTCCTCCATATTGGTACACACACTTCTGGAGCGTCCTCAATACGGTAATATCCAAAATTTTACGTTTTATAATGTCTAGATAAGAAATATTTTATTTTAGAATTCGGACTAATGACATAAATAAATTCATCGGTAAAAGGGCGAAATAATTAGCAAAATAAAATAATTCTGACTTCATATTGAGATTCTCTTCCCGCAAATTCTTCACGTCGAGTTTCAGGTTTTCATTTTCGGTCTCCTTCGCTACGATATCAGCCTTGTGCTGTTCGATTTGTTCCTGTTAAGAATACAATGTTTTAAATATTACTCCTTTATCAAAATATTTTTCCATATGTATTCTTTGCTCGGCGCTCCAGAAGTATGTGTACCAATATGGAGGTAACTAATTTTGTTCGTCTATTTCACATCAATTTGTATAAAGGGACTGAAACCTATGGGCAGAGGAATGTTAACTTGGCTAACAAAGACAGTCCCCGAACTCGTTATAGTACTAAAATGAGAAAAATCGGAATAAAATGATGGACTAATCCTAACCTGGTATATATACTACGGGAGTACCCTTTGCTCTGGCAGTATAAATAAAGATATTGTTTTCCGTTTCGCAATTGGTAATGAATCGTAATACTTTTCCATATCCATTTTTACATTCATTGTTCCGTCAGTATGAAATGAGAAGTGTATATTTACCTCATAGTCCTTATTTAGTTTATTGATATTTTCCAATAGTTTATTTTTTTCTTCGACCAACTCGTCGATCTTTTTTTCTTTATTATGCAGTTGTGTCTGAACAAACGTTCATATATCAGAATCCTCAAAAAATTGACATGGATTGATAATTCAAATAGGGGTGATCTGTGTTAAAACCACTTTAGTTTGACACTGGCCGTAAATGTTTTACTTTTACTTAAACTGCACAAAAGCGTGAGTGCGACTGACGCATAATACTTGTGAACGATTAAAGTAGTTATTATGTATATTGAGGAAGAAATGAGAAGTCCAAAGATAGGCAAAAGGGGGAACTTGAAAAAAAGGCTAGGAACCATTGAAATATTTGTTAAATTTTGTACGTAACAATGTTCGTTTCGCCGGTTAAAAAATCTTTGTTTACAATTTACATTCCAAGCTCACAAAGGGTGTAACAGGCCTGAACAACTCAAATAAACAAAAGGGCGGCAAAATAGAAAACAATTCGTTTTGGGTCACAAGCTATCATTATTGCTGATATAACTTATATTTTCGTAATATAGCGTATAAACAGTTTGTCACATAATCAATTCGACACAACCAGCTTTAATGAGATATGTTGCATGCGATATGTTTCATATTTTTGTATTCAAAAGTAATTGTTTCAAATCACGGGCCCACGTTGCCATACTTTGTGCAGGCTGGGAAACAAATTGGGTTGAATTGCTTGTAAGAGCTATGTTTGGCATGAACGACGTATGAAAACGATGTTTAAAAAATACTGACGACCTGGACGTCTGTCGGATGGTATTCGGTAAAAAGTAAATTATTATTCGAGCAAGCAACCTGTAATCCGTTCTTGACATTCTCTAGGTTTGAACAGCATTCGTCTTTCTGTCTTATCACTTCTTCTAGTCCACTCTGTTTTAGTAGAAGAGCATCCTTTTCTTCAGAACTTTGACTTATCTAGATTGCACACGAATTGGTGTTAGGATACTCGCTTGAAGACTGTTCGGAGCAAACCTCACAATATAAAGTTTGATATTCGACAATGAAGCTTATTTTAAAATTTTAAAGGGCTCTAATGAGCAACAAAAATGGTCCTGACTGAAGTATGTGTACCAATATGAAGATTGAAGATAACTAATTTTATTCACCTTTTTTACATCAAGTTGTGTAAAGGAACTGAAACCTATAGGTTGGGGGTGTATTCACTTTGCTAATCAAACAGTCACCGAAAACGTAATCGAGCTAAAATAAGGAAAATCGGAATAAAATTATGGCCTAACATACCTGGTACTACGAGAGTACCCTAAAAATTTCTGTATTTACAATTATTTAACTCCGTAAACCTTGTATATATATATATATAGTCGTTTAATTTATATTTGTTCGTCACTAAATTGCCGCGCCTATAACCAAATTTGTACCAATGATATATTTAGCTGGAGGTTCTTACGTTCGACTCCAAATCTTCAACTTTAGATTTCCACTCTTCATTCAACATTATTTCATCTTCGATTTTCTTATCCGATTTCATTTTCTCTAGTTCTAGGTCTTCGCACCTATATCATTGAATAGGTGAATATATCATTGTACTCGCTTTGGCATTTGTGATGAAAAATTCCGTATATGATTTCGAACAACCAAATAAAACCGTTCGATTTTTGACAAAGTTGTTACATAACGTGTTTTCCGAAAATAAGACTGGGTTTAATTTCAATTTTATTCAGAAAAAATTATACTAGGGCTTATTTCCATTATCAAAAACAAAATTACCAAGTAGAAAATTACGAGATTTTCAAACATACAACATTTGAAAACCGATATTCATTCATTTGTTTATAAATAATTCGTTTTTATTTTAAAAAATGCCACACATAGATTATTAAATATTTGAAACGTGTAAAAGAGATTTTGCACATAGATTTACGATTTACGCCTCATCCAAATTCGAAAACAAAAAATGTATATCAGGAAGCTTACTATTCTTATCCGTTAAAAGTTCATAGTTCTCTAAAATACTGAATAGTAGTTATTTATCAATAAGGTCGATCTTACAAATTTACTTTTCTACTATTACTGAGTTAAAAAGTTGTTACACCTATAAACAATATATTACTTGGAATTAAGATTTTCTATTTCCAGTTCTCCATTTTTAATCGCGTCCTGATATCCCTCTTCTTGCGTTTGCCAGTTTTGTTTCGCAGCGGCATATTCCTCGTTCATATCTCGGATGATTTGACTTCTTTCTTCGGCAATATCAGACGTTTCGTTCAATTGGGTTCGTAAATTTTCAATCGTAGTTTCGCTCGCCCTCTGTATAAAAATAATTTCATGTAGCATACATTACATATCATACATTTGTGACAGGAACGAATTTTACTCTCTTCTGTTCCATAAGAAAAATGGGTAATTGCGAACAAATCTGATTGCCAACCATGTGACCAACACTCGACGTTTCAAATGTTCATCAATTAGCAGGTTTTAGACGGGAGCAGGAGATATCAGTGACCCTATTCGAAGCGAAAGGCGCGAATAAGCGTACAAAATCTGCGCAATGTTTTTCAAACCAATTTTGCTCAAATCAGATATAATAATACATGAGTGTGCAACAGGCGGCACGCGGACCACAACTCGTTCTGCCAGGCCATTTGCTGAGAAACTTGTCCACAATCAGATTTTCCTCACCAAACATAAAATCCTAATCCGATAGTTTATGTTTGAATGGCGCTCACATGGGTTGAAATACATACTATTTTTACGCCTGTCACTGCGTCAAATCATGCATTGTGATAATTTTTTTTATTCTGTTGTGTACATGGAAAAACTAAATCTTCTGGGAGTTAGGATTGACATAACCAAAGATCGTAATTCTACGCCCACTAGAAGTACTTGAGGTACGAAACTACACGAGACCCATTTTCTTGTGTATCCCAGCAATATGTCCGAAGTTTGTTATATAGCCCACCGAAAAAATATTGCACGCCCCTGTAATATAGTGAAGCATTATTTGCTGTAATTCTCCAAAACGAACCCAGTACTTACCACATTATCGTCCAAATCTCGTTTCAATTCGCTTATGGCCTCCAGCATCTGAGCTACAGTTAGTTGAAGAGCGTGTCTGGCGCTTTCCAATTCCACAGTTCTCTCCTTGGACTGTCTTAAATGATCGACCAATGATATAATTTCCGAATTTTTCATCTGAATCTCAGCGTTCGCATTCTGCAGCTAAATGAAGACGTACAAACACATTAGCGTATGTTATTCCCTAAATAAGTGATTTAAAATGTACGATTTTGTTGCTTTACTACACCAGGCATTTCGCCCATCCTAAAAATTCATTTAATAATAGGGCGCTCCAGAAGTATGTGTACCAATATGGAGGTAAATAATTTTGTTCGTCCATTTTATATCATTTTGTGTGGAGGGACTGAAACCTATGGGCAAGGGTATATTCACTTGGCCAACACAGACAGTCCCCGAACTCGTAATAGAACTAAAATAAGAAAAATTAGAATAAAACTATGGCCTAAACCTAACCTAATAAATACCCCAGGAGTTCGCTATAGCTTGGGAATTCCACGACGCTGTTTGTCCATATTTACGTCATATTACAGTGCTTCAGAGAACAGGACTGCGATTAATCATTTTGTGGCGAAGCCAAATGAACAAATGTACTTTGAATAACTTCTTAATTGCTCAAATGTGTGCATGATTTAATATATGATTTTTATATTGCCGTAGTCAACTCACCTCTGACTCTGCTGCTTCTTTTTCAGCAACAGCATCAGCCACTTGTTTTTTTGTAGTCTCCGTAAGCTCAGAATCTAGAATAGCAGTAGTCATGAATAAGTAAACAATCGTATAGCTACATTTTATAACATTGAGGCCCTACTTACGTGCTGTCTCCCATATCTCTGTTTTTTCACGTATTTCTGTCGCCAACGCTATCATATCATCATTGAGTTTCTTAAATAAAAATGCTATTAGTCACATCTTTGGAAATATTTCACTGATACTTTGAATTTGATACTTAAAAGAGGTCCATCTTAGATGTTTGGTATGTCGCAACAATTAACTATCTTTGCTGCGCCATTTGTATTGATGTTTTTTATGAAATGTACAATTAGACATCTTATAGGAGAGTTCATTCATAATATTCAAAGTTTATACTATCGTTTTGAACGTTAAAAAAAACACGTACCTGGAGTTTGATTTTTTTCTTTTCATTTTCCTCGCGTAGTTGATTGGATGCTTCTACGCACATACGCAAAGTGTCTTCCAGTCGTTCGAGTTCGTCCTTCAGCGCAACACACATCTGTCTGGTTGTTTCTAATCTGGAACATGAAAAACAAAAACAAATTTGAACTGAGAAAAATGAGAAATATTTAGAGAGAATCGCTGTACGATGAAACTGTTGCAGTATCCATAATAACTGGACATTTTGATATTATGTTATATTTTTTTCAAAATAGATTCCATTGTTGCATATTTTATACATAAAAAGCTTTTGTATTGTAATCGTCACTTCCATACGTCTTGAAGTAGCTCACGGGTGTTTTTACGCCTTCACTGCAATACAAATTATGACTTGCTGACTACTATAAAAATATTTGACTATTTTCATCAAAAGACCTGGATGTTTCTGTCTCGCTAGCAACAACATTTTTTATTTTCCCTTGGTGATATGCGATGTAATGACTAATTTGGGCAAACGTTTTAACGCAGGTGCTTCATCATTCTTGTTACAAAAATCATTTCGCGATACGAGAATAAAGCCCTACTTTTTGAAGCAGACACTGCGTGTCTTGATCTCATCTTGTAATTCGTTCAAGATCTTTTCTTTTTCGACTTTCGTTTCCAGCATAGACTTCCGAAGAGAGTCAATTGTCTGCCTCGAAGACTCAATTTCTTTATCCTGTGAGAGAAGTAAACTTTATATAAATTTCGAAACTTTTTACCGGAGTCGAACCAAGTACCGGTACATGATTTTTTAAAAATGTGTTCATGTGGAATGATGTAATGCTGTTCTGCTCCTGATAACATTACTTTATTTTATTCCGCTTGAGCATTGAGGCAAATAAGATAGAAAATAAAATATCTCATCGTGCGATCCCGCAGAGAAACTAGAAAAATATATTTGCTAAAACCAAATTGCAATAGAAAATGACGTGAATTAGAGCTAAAAAAAAATAATAAAATCATGATATCTACAGAGTCGATGCATATAAAAGAAGTTTTTCAACCTTTTCTTTCAAACGAATCTCCATTTTAACTTGATGCCTCCTGATTTTCTCAGCTTCCGATTGAAGTAATTCGAACGCATTCTGCAACATAAATGTAATTACCCGGTACATAGAATTGGTATTGCTTGATGCAGTGACTATTTTTCGTTTCTGCGGAGGTAGGTAGGTACGGGTAGTTCACCTACAGCAGGAGTGTGTAACAGGCGGCCCGCGGGCCACAACCGGCCCGTTAAGCCATTTAGCGTGACCCTTGTTGACACCGATGCGCTCATGTTGATAAAAATAGATAATATTTTTTTTGCACTTTTCGCTGCGTGAAATCTTCCGCCGTTTTGCCCAGTCCATTTGTAAATGTAAACGTACGTTACCCTATTATCGCCACTTTTTATTACAATCCATCCGAAGTCTATCTACTTCTGGTTATAATTTCTCTATATTGTCTCTGAACATTAGCTACCGATTGGAGGGGAAAATGCCAACAGCAGCGAGTCGCGAAATGAATTTGCTATAGCGACACCTCACGAATATAGTGGAAATGTGGGTATGGCGATAATAGGAACGACGATTATCCTATTATCGCCACTTATGTCAAACTTTTTTTTTCAATAGCTTTTCTCTTTAAATACATAATCATTTGCTATGAAATTTTCAATGATTGAAGAGTGTTGCTGCTGCTAGAAGGTTATTACTTTTATTTATTTCAAACATTTATGTATTTATATTTGCCCTACGAGATTTGTTTTTCACTTCGAAGTCTTATATGATGACGTCATCAAAATTAAAAATTGCGCATCGTAGCATGGTGGTTCTGCGATCACATTTAGGCGATCTGGCGGTCAGCGAAATCGGGAGTTTTTTTATTAAATGAGATTACCGTTACTGTGAGAGATTTGATAACACTTCTTTTTAGTGTATGTCCTCACATTATTGAGCATTGCTGTTTTGTTTTTCCACGATTTTTTGGTTCTCCCTTTTGGCGAGCCGAAATTTTTTCATCCTATTATCGCCACCCTGCGGATACCATAATTAACAACAGCACGATATTTACAAACACTTCCCATTTCAAACTTGATTCAACGTCGATCTAACACTGACTGACAAAAACTAAAATAAATAAACACTGTCACGCTATTTTGGGCTGCTAATTAGTAATTACCGCCCTCCCAAAAAGTTGGCCGAGCGTGATATCAGCTGACTTTTACATTTTACAAAAATGTATGTTTTTATTGAAATGTCTTTACGCCACCGGGTGACATATATGTTTAATATTTATCACTTATGACGTCGCGATCCGAAAACAACTCATATTCAGCGCTATCTGAAAGTGCAACTGCAGCATGGCGATTCTGAAGGCGTGTGGTGAAAATTGGCGTGTGGCGATAATAGGGTAACTAACGTACGTTAGTAAAGCTAAGCGATAGCCGCATTCTTTTTTTTTTGTGTGGCGCAGCTAGCCTGCATGACTGGAGTTGTTTATATGGACCATCGACACAAAATGCTGCACCCCCCCGACCTGCAGAGTTTGTACCTGTTCTTTAAATAGTATTAGTATGGAAATTATGCTCGTATTTACGAAAATTATCGGTAACTTCCATCGAGAGTGGCAGTTCTCCGTCGATAGCAATTAACTTGGATAAAAAATAATGAAGTATTTATAACTGAGGCTTTTGAAGCCTTGTTTTCAGTCGTACCTAATTTTTTTGGGAGTTCACCATCATATTTTTGTTTTGGGCCTACACAGACTATCCGTTTTTTATTTCACGATAGATTTATGCCAACTTTTGTATTCTAACTCCGGCGTGACAACCAAACTTCAGTTGTCTGTACCGGGTGAACAGTTTTTCCAGAAGTTATTACGTGACATGATGATTAACATTAGTAATGCCTAGCTTCTAAGTTAAAACTTATAGTCTATCTGAAATAAAACAATTAGCCTACTTTACTTACGTCTTGTCGCACTAGATTCGTGTGTCGCTGCGCCGTACGCAGCGGCAAAGTTGCAAACTTTTGGAAATTCATAAAGAATTCCCTGCTTTCTGCTGTAGAGAACAATATTTACAAAAATAGCCTATGACAGCAAATATAACAAAAAAAACAGCAATGTCACTTCAACCAACAACAACAAAACTAAACCAAAGCAAGGTTTTTGAGAAACTGGCATACGATATCAGCTCCGGCAACAAAGACTTGCAGACGACAAGAAAATATTAGATACAATTGTGACGACAGAATATTTGTATAATTGGCCACAAGAGGACGCTGTGGCATCAAAAGATTGCGCAAAATCTGAAAGGACCATTCAGGAATCAGAACACGAGCCCGCTAAGTGATTCGGAGAAACCCTGGGACGAGCATCCACAACGAGAAAATGAGTAAATGAACCTATGGATCGTTTCGTTATCTTGCTGTTATCGATCATGATGTTAGTATTTCTTTCTTTTTCTCCGCGTTGTGAACATATCGTTTCCTCAAAACTACTGCATGCTTTGAAATTTTCAGTGGTTAAGGATTGTATTTTTTGTTGGAAGACTATTATTTTTATTTTTTTCAAACATTCTGTCTCCATGAGATGCATTAGGCTGCGATGACGTCATCAAAATTAAAAATTGCGTTTTTTGTGGCGGACATGCTTTCGTGTAGGACTACCGGTAAGACGGGTAGGTATTTGTGGTAGATTACATAACGGCATTTTGTGTCCATATATTTGAGCATTGCTCTCTTGTATTTATAATTTTATATGCCTTCGAAAAGAGACAACGATACTTTTGCAAGAAACGCTCATTGATTTATTTATAGTTGTGTTCTAAAAACAATATATGTTTATACAATATATGTTTTCAATAGCCAGGACAGTTTTCGATAGTCGTACAATTACCGGTATTTAAGCGCCGTATCTTCTAATTTGGTTTTACGGATCGATTTTTTATGTTAAATGGTTTCATGTATAATTTCTATCCTCCATAATTCTGTAGACCCAAACATACTTCAATTTCTGATCCATATTATGACAAACGTGAATTTTTCGCACATCGTTGTCTTTGTTCTGGGGTTTTCAGTGAGTGCGCCTACGTCTTTAAGCTTTGAACTTTTTTAAGTGGTTATTTGTAATGTTTTACCGTAATTAGCTTATGTTTGGATTGAAGGTAATAAACAAAGTTTGAACTTTGAGTAACCTTCGGAATAAACTGACCCAAGGATGTCTATTACTGTTATAATAAAGCAACAAAATTGGGTGGTTCATTCGGAATAGGGCGTTTTAGTGTGTTTCTAATCTCATCATTAGAATTTTCATTTATTGGATTACACTATATCTCTCCATATTCATAATTGGGTGATATAACTAGTTATTATCTATACAACTCCGGCGGAATGTACAGTTAAACTGTTTTAGTCGAGATAGTTTCTCGCTCTCTGCTTTTATTTTATCTATTATTTTTTCACGCAACACCTCTCTTGCCTTGTAATATTGGTTTAACCCTAACTTGAATGATTTATGTAAGACCAGTTTTCATTGACATAGTTTACTAACCACAGTAAATTCGACTATACGTTTGCGTTATTTCACCAAAAAAATGACGACAAGTGGGATAGGATTATAACTTACAATGACGCACAGCAGAAACGTAGCGACCCTCACCAAGAATACCGTCTACTTAAAATTTGTAATCCGTTTTCATTTCGAATATATATTTATAGTTGGTAATTAAATTTTGTCAGATGTAAAAGTTTTGCCAATGTACAACGGTGCAAATGTACGTGGGCGCAATCTATATGCGGGTGCTAAAATCGATGGGTGGAAACTGGAAATTATGGGTGCAAATATCGGTGGGTGCAAAAGTATGCAGGTGCAAATGTCCTAGAAGCATTTCATTGGTGCTGTGTGTTGTGTTCCGTTTATTTGATAAAACAATATACCGTATTAATAAGATAATACGTAGATAATACGCACCCAGGTTTTAGTACATTTTTAACGTGAATTTTTCAAACTCCATGCATAATACGCATATATATCAAAATTCCGTCCTCTCTTGCCTTGTAGATGTTTTCCGGACTGCTTGCCTTTTGTTAACTATGTATATTTGGTAATATGTTTTGTGTATTTGCCTGTGAAACATCTGCCAATCATGATGTGATGCTATTCCACATTAATGTATTTTATAAAGGTATTTGTCCCTCCCCCTTTAAAAGCTGACAAGACCCATATCAGAACGTGTTTACACCGCACTCCAAAGAGAAGCGGTAGGTCACTCATAGGGTGATTTATTACGATAAAGTTCCGCCGACTTGCGAAACGATAGAAAAAGTTTAAAGCATAAAATGAGCAATAATATTTTTTTGATATTTTCTAGACCAATGTATAATACGCACCCCCATGTTTGCGAGACTGAATTTGGCCGTGAAAGTGCGTATTATACGCGGAGAAATACGGTACTTTAATAATTTTTAAAATAAATTACGTTTTAAATTCAAATCATTTAGTTGGTCATAAAATCGTTTTTTAACAAATTGGTAAAAATCCATTTCATAACGTAAAGCTTCTCCAAGTTTGAGTTTTGTCTCCAGTCGTGGTGAAACTTTTTTACTCGTTTTGGACTTGTTGATAATTCCTGCAAAAATATCAATTCTTAAAACTTAGAATTGAAATATGTTAGTGGCTTCTTGTATACGGCCTTGTTTGGATTAAAGGCGTGAATAAGCGTCATAGGGAAAAAATTCTTTGTGTAAAAATTGCCCTTTTTCTCTAATGATGACATAAAACGTTCTCGTAATTGTCATAGGAAAATTGCCCACAAAATACACCGCAATAAAAAAGGGTATTCGACTTGCGATCTGTACTAACAACTACTACTGTGATCTGGTATTTTTGAAATTTTCAAACTCCAAGGGAATAACAAAAATAAAATTCCGAAAGGGCGTACACAAATTTGCGATTAAAAACAAACCTTTTGCACGTTTGTAAATTTCCGATCCTCGCCTGAAGTATCTGAAAGAACAATATTTCGAATTATTCCAATGAATTTTTATTTTGACAAGTTTAACAGGTCTACTATACGTCAACAACATTTATTTTAAGATAAATTTGTAATTATTTTGCATTAGTTGCAATTCAGTCGTGACTAGTAAATTTGGGAATTTAATTCCGTACATTTTAATATTTTCGTAATAACATTACAAACTTTCAATAATTTAGTTACGTTTTAACAACATGTTTCTTGAATATTTTAGTTTTTTATTCTGACCCTCATCACTTATAGTAGAGATGTGAAACCTGCGGCCCGGGGGCTAAATGCGGACCACAGGGGAAAATTGAGCGGCCCGCGGAACGAGTTTTTAATTCAGTTTAATTTGGTACATGCGATGCTTTTTTGTGGCTGCAACTACTGGGAAGCCTATGTTAAATGAAGGTGAGGCCCGCGGTTTCGCTCAGTTGTTTGTATCTGTCCCTCCTGTATTAAAGGTTGCGCGCCCTGACCTATTTAATAAACGTAACACAATTTTGGTCAGATACTGATATTTAAACCTTGGACTTTTCATTCTGTAAACTCGAAACATTTACGAGTGTATAGATATCTATTTAGAGAAATCTCAATGGTAAAATATTGGTCAAAAATGACATTGTATTTAGGCTCTTACCTTGGTAACGTGTATTCTAGCAAGCGTAGAGTGTTTGGAAAATCTTCAACTATACCTACCACAGTATAATATTTAACAACATTTTCTTTTGCTTTTTGAAGTGCCCATGGACTGCGAGTCCTGAAACAAGTTGAATGTATTAGATTTTAACGTTGGTAAATAAAAGATATCGCGTGGCTATCCATCTTAGATAATCACCGTTACTGTTCTATTTAAACATACTGAAAGCTTTAAAAAATAATAATCAATAAATTCATTTATTTTATTAATATTAATAAAAATGACCGACACGAGTCAAGAGGATTAAGTCTAAATAGCGAATGAAAACGAGGAATTCAGGAATTTACTTTTGGTATATCTCACCTCTTCGCATAGAATAAGTGCGTAAGCACAGAACAAAGATGCACTCACTCTTATGTAAGAACGGTTCTGGGATATTGATGAACCATAATCTATCACTGACATGGGCAAACTGAGGCCAGCGGGCCAAATTCGGCCCGTTGGGTAATTCAATCTGGCCCGCCTGACGCTTCCGTCAATTTCTGATTTCATCCAATTCTGCATGGTGTAATACGCATGTTACATCATGATCGTAGTCTGTGTAAGATGTATTTTTGGGTTACGTTTTCTCGCTCACTCGATTCGGAGGCGGGCTTTTTACACCTCTTTCTTCCGCCTCTTTGTTAACGTTCCCATAACGTTCTTTTCTGTTCATAGCTTACGCATTGTTGCTATGTAATTTAGTCTTTCGTTTTTTGCTGGTTTCTAATGATCTGTTACCACATTGTTGCTATGTAATTTAGTCTATCGTCTTTCGCTGGTTTCTAATAATATGTTACTACATCCCTTTTCTGCACCCTAATACCTAAAGATTGATAGCTGAATTATTGAACACTAATTTTTGCCCACACGAGTGAGTGATCAGACCTTCAGTCTAATAAACCCAGATCTCAATTGACCGATTGCCACAACCAAACTAAAACTACATTTTGATGTTTTGGCCAAAAATAGCTCAAGGAATTTGTTGGGATTGCGATTAAATTCAGTTTTGGCACGACGCTTATCGTTTTCCACTTTTGCAACAGTGTAAATAAAATTCTGTTCGTAAAATGTAACTTTTACGTCACACTTACATGGCCAGCCAGTCGAGGTGGGCGACATTTATGGCCCAATAACCTTGCCCTGATCTATCCGGATACGTTTTAGTCGGACACAAAGATCAGATTCTCGAAATTATATCGGATCGCAATAAAATGGTAGTTTCGAAATTTTCATTATAGGCTTTATGTCCATTTTCTATGAGTCGGCTTTATGATAATTACAGTATATCGTCCTATATGTGATCGATATTGGAAAGGAAAAATGATATATCCTGCAAATATTTTATATAGTCGATAAATACTGACAAAAAGATCCCAAATTGACTGAATATTTCGAGGCTCGATAAATTTAACAACTCGTTTAGTATGTAAGTCAGACTCGTTTCAAGTATGGGAACGATGTCTTAATGTATATACTGCGGCAAAATGGGAGTCGTATCACAGATCTTCCCTCAATAATGCTAGTACTCCCGTAGTGTGTGTACCGGGTTAGGGTTAGGCCATAATTTTATTCCGATTTTTCCCATTTTAGTTCTATTATGAGTTCGAGGACTGGCCAAGTGAATATACTGCCTGCCCATAAGTTTCAGTCCCTTTATACAACTTAATGTAAAGTTGGTGAACAATTTTAGTTACTTCCATATTGGTACATACACTTCTGGAGCGCCACGATGCCGATGTAGCTATTCCCATAAATTTCTTACCTGCACTTCGGTCCTTGTCCACAGAAGAATGCCAATGTTGTTGAACTTTCTCGCTGAACGCATTTCTCAGCACTTTTTGCGACGCATTCTTCTAATTTCTGCAAATATAAATATTGTTTAAGCAAAGAAATATTTGATGACGATCAAAATTTAGAAAAAAAAATTATTCGCCTGCGTTGAGAGTTGAAAGTATGATCGAATTTAAAACATTAGTGCTGATTGCGGTCTTGGTGAATTTGTCACACAGTCGATATAATAAGACAAATAGTCACGAAATGTCGTCACTGTTTATATGCACTTTTTAATTGATTTGGTTAGATATTTCGGCACTCCCAAAGTGTGTGAACCAAGATGGTGGACACCAGAACGTATTACGTGTACCCGGTTAGGGTTAGGCCATAATTTTATTCCAATTTCCCTTATTTTAGTTATATTACGAGTTCGGGGACTAACCAAGTGACTCCCGTAGTTTTTGTACCTGAAATTAAGGCCTAACCCTAACCTGGTACACATTCAGGAGTACCGATATTTTAGTACTCAGACTTCAGGCATGATGTGCTTGATGTGTGTGGCATTAGACCTCGCGGTTAATGATATGAAAAAATATCACAACTTGTAAAAATCTTAGAATAAATAAATATATAATGAGCAGTTCTCAAATACAAATAGGAGTATTTACTATTAATAATTATAATTTGAAATTGCAAGGTGAACCAAAATTAGCAACAAGTATTAGTCAAATAATTGAGAAACCTTACTTTCAACGACCCGATTCCCGATCCACGCATTTGAAATGTACACACAAGCATGGCGGCAAATTTGATATGGATTTGAATATCAATGTTTTGGCAAAAATTGTTCAATGTCAAAAAAGCGTATCCATGAGTATAAGTCTCTTAAGGTGTACCCTGGTAGGGGATACACTTCATTTCACTTCAAGGATTTATAACAGACATGGACTAACTACGGCCAGCGGGTCAAATCCGGCCCGTTGGGTAGTTTAATCTGGCCTGCCTGATGCTGCCACAATCAAATTAAAACCAAATTGTGATGTTAAGCTATGCAATAGCTCTATAAATTTGTTGAGATTGCGATTAAATTGCGTGTTGTCATGAGACTTATTGTTTTTCACTTTGTTTTTTCGTAAAATGTTAATTATTACGTCACACTTTATACATGGCCCGCCGGTCTAAGTGTGCAAATCGCCCATGGCTCAAAAACCGTGCCCACCCCTGATCTATAATCTTGTTTCATTGCATGTGCTATTACATTTACTGACTGATAGCTTGCAAAAAAGATCAAACTCACCTCAAACCTTGTAGCATTCGACATGTTTTTCATCCATGCTTTACTGTTGCCATTACCAAAACCAAATCTCATGTAATAGTAATGAGATATAAATCGTTCTATTGGATTTCTTATAACGTTGATATAAATTGGCTTAACTGATGATGAAAATCTGAAATGATAATGGTATGATGAAATAGAAGTAAACAAAAAGTACTCCCGAAGTATGTGGACCAAGATGGCGGAAACCGGAACGTAGTATGTGTACCAGGTTGGGGTTAGGCCATAATTTCAGGTACAAATACTATGGGAGTCACTTGTGTACGAACTTGTAATAAAACTGAAATAAAGAAAATTGGAATTAAATTATGGCCTAACCCTAACCTGGTACACATACTACGTTCTAGTGTCCGCCATCTTGATTCATATACTTAGGAGTACCTGCTAAAATATATTGACACAAGGTATAATATCTAATGAAGTCCAGTACAAGTAGCTTACGCCCGTGGTGTTCAATTTTGTGGGTGGACCGTAACCCCAATGAAACATTCTGAGCGGCCGAGGTACCATTACACAATAGTTTTAATGTTTAAATCATATTATCTATGAATGTATATAATTGCAGACCTGAGCAAAATGACCTGTACAATGTAGCAAGTTCAATAATGGTGGCTAACATGTATTTGGTTATATTTGAATAACCTATGATATTAATACAGCCTCTCGGATTTGAATTTAAACTTGCGGAGCTCCGATTAATTAAAAACCATTGGCCTATGCGACGGACACTGAAATGTCACTAAATATCGAGTTCGCAAAGGAAACAACATTCATGACGTACCGTATCGGAATTGGAGGGAATTTGAAAAATAACAATAATTACACCTTTAGGTACTGGAATTTTCTAATGTATTGGCCCATTCAATACGAAGTAACTAATTTCGTATCGAATAAAAATGTTAACCGGGTAATGGGACCTAGGCGAACAAAAGAATGTCAAGTTGTTAAATTCGTTGAAATTACATTTAATATTTGAATCTCTTTGTTCAATATTTGAAGATATTTTGTCGAACACCCTTGTCAAATAAGCGAAGCGTGTGCGGCAAATTAAAATTGATATCACAATTGTAATGTAATAGTTGGTCGGGCGACAAAATGTAGTGTATTAAATAGAAAGTTAATATCAAATTCTCATACGGGATTCGTAGTATTGGAAAAAGAATAAAATTATTGTTTGGAAAAACATGAGTAGTTTTAATTGATTCTTTTTGTCGTGTTCCACAAAAAAAAAAGAATTTCCGCTCTTAATCAACGGCTATTATCATTTAGGGAAAATAAATAGATAAAGAAAAAATATTTCCGATTTATCAAACAATTTTGAATGATTAGCAATGAATTAAAAATTCAACACGTTCAAATTGTCATGCTTATAAATCTGTCCATTTTTTAAATACTTTTATTAAATAAATTTCACTTACTTTTCAAAATCAACGAAATGTAAATGACGGATAAATATAGAAGCAGCACCATTTGCCGTAGTTGTAACGTTTTCAACCAAATTTCTCTGTAAAAAGTTGAAGCTTTGTTAAAGGGAAATAGAGTATTCTAGGAAAATAATGTTAAATTTGAAGGCAAACTTAGTAACTCTTAGATACGAGTTCAGTTAAATACAAGAAAATCAACCTATTTTGGATTCTAAACAACTTGTAAACATGTTTTACTAGGTATATAATCCAATAATTGGATATTACAACACCGGATGTCGCAGCTTCATTGTCAGCTTTAGTACCTTCGGCTTGCCTTTTCTCATTAAAAGTATGTGTTCAACTTTCCCTCGTACTTTTGTATGCTACCGTTTTTTATTTTTCAGACTGGACAAAATATTGACTATGACTGCGTCATCCCACCAAACGAATATACAGAAATATAAACTGATTTTATTATCTCACTCGGTTAAGGGTAACCTATACATACAAAATATTTTGATTTGATATTGACGAACCGGAGTATTTTAGTTCATAGCCATGTAACATATTGATAGTAATACGTCATAAAGCTGAATAAAAGAGGTTCTACCTGTTCATCCTCGGTCAATATTTGCTGTACATGCGGCCAATTGTGAGATATCGTTCTGAAACCTAATCTAGACCCGAGTGCTTTTATTAACCAAACAATGGTTGTACTTCCACATTTTGGAACACGGTTGTATATAACAAGTGGCATCTTGTTGTGCTTCAATTCGTAACTTGCATTTGCGAGCGGACGACGACTTTGAGATAATGGTTGTCTGTGTTTGAAGGCGACTGGAATCTTTGGAATGTTGGGAAGTTCTTCTCCTTGAATTGCCGCATCTACAGACCGAATTGATACATGTTTCTCCAGTCCTGAAATAAAATAAAGATTTTTTTAATTGCCCGCTCTCAAGTAAGCGCGCTGAATGCGTTCAAGTCCATGCTTCCGAAAACAAATAAATGGCAAACTAATCCCATACCCGACATGACATGGTAGCCGGACGAGAGGCCGTGGTTCGCCATATGTTTACGTCATCTTATCGGCTTTTCTCTGCTATTCTATGTATTCCCATCTCATCCTAACACTTAAAACTACATCCTCAATGGAAAGTTGCATATTGATTTGAAATAGCAGCGTGATCAAATCCTTTGCAAAAAATGTGATTTCAAATTTGGATTTACCGTTATGCTGAATAGAAAAATACATGGCGATTTGTCAAAACGACTGTTCATTTATTTTATCGTAAAATGACCACAGCACAATATATTTCGAATCATCTATTTTGCGAATAAGAGTACAAATGACGGTACTCCTGCAGGAGTACGCTCCTGAAGTAGATGGCGGACACCGGAACGCAGTATGTGTACCAGGTTAGGGTTAGGCCAAAATTTTAGATAGAAATACTAGGAAAGTCTCTTGGCTAGTCCCCGAACTCGTAATAGAACCAAAATAAGGAAAATTGAAATAAAATAATGGCCTAACCCTAACCTGGTACACATACTAAGTCCCGGTGTACACCATCTTGGTACGCATATTTCAGGAGTACCCAAATGACACCCAATTTCGGAATTCGGGTAATACATTATTAATTGAAAGCGCATGTCGTGGTTAGAAAGCTTAAAACCGAAAATTAAGTGAAATTCGTAGTAAAATTTATATGACAGTCGAATAAGAATGATCAGTTCCTGTCGATTTGACGCTAGAACCTGTACAATCAATGGTATGCGCGATATTGGACAAAATAATAACACGAATGATTAGGTAAAAAAACGGCGTTCCAGAAGTGTGTGTACCAATATGAAGGTAACTAATTTTGTTAGCCTACTTTACATCAAGTTGCGTAAAGGGACTTAAACCTATGGGCAGGGAAGGGTATGGGCTAGGGGGTATTCAGTTGGCTAACACAAACAGTCCCCGAACTCCTAATAAAACTAAAATAAGGAAAATTGGAATGGAATTATGGCCTAACCTTAAGCGGGTACACACACTCATGAGTACCAAAAACAGTGTTTATACGCAAGATTATTATGGTATATTGTTCTAAAATTATACTATAGTCGTGCTGAAAGAACTTTAGATTGCTTTTTAATTTATATACGTCAATACTGACCTTTATTCGGGTTGCTCACTCCAGAAGTATTCAGCTTTGTACGCCATTCAACCGTGAAGTAGATGAGCACATGGATGGCAAATAAAATAAAAAACAATCGACTTAATGTTTTTATTATTTTATAAATTATTTTAAATGATCCGTTTCCTCTTGTAGGAATGAATACATTCATAATGACATTAGATATATTAGTGAGTATAGTTAAGATTATTTTACCACAGTGCTGAAATGGATAAATTATTGCGATTTAGTTCAGAGCGATGAGTTTTAATTTCGTCGAATCTGCATGCATGTTTCCCAACATAGATCTCATTTAATTTTTATGCATGCTAACCCTTGCATGTAGATTTAAAAAATAGGAATTTCTGGTAAAATAATTGCTCTGCAGTTAGTGACGTAATTCTGTGTCAAGTAATATCCCTAAACCTCGGGAAAATAATAAAAGTGGGAAAATTGTTACAAAAATAAAAGCAAGAAAACTCATTTGCCCTAACATTACTTCGATTTAATAATGCTATGTCCAATATAAAATACGAATCCCATCCACTCCAAAGATCCTAAAACACTTGAAGTCAATATTTAAAGCCTGTTATTTTCCCTTACTTATGTAGGATAATCTAGGCTTCAATCAAATATATATATTCTCTCTCTTGCCCGATAGCGTGTAATACGAGCTCCATAGACATTTGAAGATACACAACGAGTCCAACGACTGTAATTATTTTTTATATTGTTACGCGCCCTGTTTAGTTTGGAAAAAGTGGGCGCTTCAGAAGTGTATGTAACAATATGGAGGAATTTTGTTCACCTATATTATATCAAGTTGTATAAAGGGTCTGAAAGCTATGGGCAGGGGGTATATTCACTTGGCTAAGACAGACAGTCCCCGAACTCGTAATAGAATCAAAATACTCTTAGTTCGACCAAAAATTACGGCCTAACCCTAACCTGGTACATACACTACGGGAGTACAAACAAATGTGCTACGCAATTTTGAATTTTACAACCAACTTTACCATCTCATACTCCTACTTCGCAAACCTTACTAGTTTACTTATACAAGAATCTTTGCATACACATATATATTTTATAACGTTACATTACGCTAAATCGAAAAACCATTCAATTAAAAAGGTTCTAAGACGTCGACGCCCACTTTACGTATCTTTGTTTGCCGGTATGCCGTGTCATAGACCTTTGTAGTTTACCGTCGCATTAATTGTAATCCACGAATAAAAGAAAATTAACTGATTTAAAAGATTTTTATTAACACCTAAGTTCAATACCGTTATGGATACGCTGCAGACTTGTACACCAATCTAATATGTTAGATCTACTTCTGATAGCGCCACGATAAATACAGGATAAAAATACGTGAAAATTTCTACCGAAGCGAGGCAGCTATTCTCCAAACTATCCTTATACCATATTTTGTTATATAACCAAGCTTATTCATCCATTCGTAGGTACTCCCGTAGTGTGTGTACCAGGTTAGGGTTAGGCCATAATTTGATTCCGATTTTCATTATTTTAGTTCAATCACGAGTTCGGGGACTGTCTGTGTTAGCCAAGTGTATATACTCCCTGTCCATTATAGCTTTCAGTCCCTTTACACAACTTTATATAAAATAGGCGAACAAAATTAGTTACCTCCATATTGGTACACACACTTCTGGAGCGCCAGAATTTCTTCTAATGAATCGAGTCAGCTATTATCCAAACTATCCTTATATAACCTATTCATTCGTTTAGCCCAAGTTATATTCTTTTTTTTTCGCATTTTATCTCGATATGACTAGCTCGGGTAAGCGAAGAATATTTCCTGTTTTGATGAAAGAGTCGAATTTCGGATAAGTACTCTCAAGTGGTCACCAGTACACTCATAGTCGAAGAACCTTGCTAAGATTTAACTTTACAAAACCACTGGAGCAAAAACTTTTTTTTTTCTGAACCAATATTGCACCTCAAGAATTCTATTCAACCTTTAATATTTCTTAATTTAAGAGTAATAAAAACTTTACTGTTTACTTCGAAAACATGTTTTGCGGTTATATTGAATCCTATATTAGTATATTGGATCTCCGCTCCAGGAGACCCTATTATCAGTCGTTCTGTCTGTGTGTCTGTCTGTTTAAACGTGGCGTCTAAACGGCTGGAGCAATCGAGTTGAAATTTCTCACGTTGATCATCCTGTCACCCTAGTATTGTGCGTTTTATAGAAAGTCCGGATGGGGGTTTCGTTTCCATGGCAACGACGAATAAAGCGCCGATCGTTAAGAAATTTCCATTTTTTTTCACAACTTATCGCCGTTCTCTCGTTAACCAAGTTGAAAATTGAAATTTCAAGAACGCTTCCTTTTGCACGGTAAAATACTCTTTCCAATAAGTCGTCGTTGGTCTCGATACTCCATAAACTGGAGAAGCCTTAGGGATTTTAATGAACATTATTTTTTTAAACATTAAATTCATCAAATTTTTAGTCACCTCATATCAGTCACGTGAGTATGTCTACAAAACAGCAGCGCTAAATATGAATTGAACTTTTCGTCAACCCGCTCACTTAGGTAATCGCGCCACCGTTAAAGATCCTCAAGTTTCTATGGATGGCAATAAGTAGCTCGGGAGCGGGCCTCAACTATCAGCGGAGAACCCGGGCGCCTACCGTCTTGTTTTTTATATCTCTTCGATTCGAAATGCTTTGAACCTCATTTAACTTCTTTTTCAGAATATCTCTCGAAGTTGCATTCGCACGGGTCACTTCAAAGCGGCATTATGCAGACAAATATACTGAACTATTCTCAATTGTTCGATTCGATATACGTAATCATGTATGACCATAATTTCCGCACAAACGGAAAAATACAATTTTCAAAACACGATATATAATTGTTTTGACTCGGGGATTATTCATAAAATTTAAATGCTCGCTACTCACGCATAATAGTGAGCTTAATCCACTGAATATTGAGCTAAATCTAATTTTGTGTGCTCACTCACCGGCGAATAAAATTGAAACATACATAACTAATGCTAAAAGAAACATCTCTAATATAACATATATATTCATATACATATAAAAAATGTTCAACTTTAGTTGTAGCAGATAAGACTAGAAAAGTGAAAATACTTTGCTCTGCTGCTTTTTCTTCTCAAAGTTGTTAGAAGGAATGCAGTGAAGCATGATACATAGGCTTCTTTGATCCAACTCGTAAAGCGCAGCATAAACACAATTCACTATATTTTAGTTTCGCTACTTGAACTTGGTATTTCTATTCAGACGAATTTGCCAACTTTATTTTGATTTGATCACCCAACTTAATTGATCAAGTTTTCAGAATTTGTGAAATTCTTCCTATACTTCACCATTGTGAAATGAAATTTTTAATGTCTACTACAACAGTACTTTTGAGGGTTGATGCCTGCAAACGGGTGAAAATATATCTTCGAAATAGTTCCTTCGTTTGAAAATGTTCAAGTATTTGTAAGTAAAAGTGATGAGATGTGATTTTACTAGACTAGCATTCACGATCTTTTTCGGCCAGTTTCACTTCAAAAGATGACTAAAAATTTACAAATATACTTTACACTACTGAAACGGCTAACGTTTACAAACATGCCTAAAATCAATCTGACTGAATAAGAGCGCTGCTACAAGTTCTCACTGTTACGTCACCGTGCACCTCTCGCTGATTAGCCATTGTCCCGGAAGTAAACAAAGAAGTCAATGCTTGATGAACCCTCCAATCTCATTGGAATTTTAGAACTATTGACAAGACGAATTTTTAACGAAAAGGAATGTGGACAAACAAATTCGAAAAGATAAAGACAGAAAAGAACCTTTACTATGAGAACTGGAATTTAAATGTAAGACCTGCAGTTCAATGTTTCAAGTTTTGCTCAATTCTTGACTCATTACTTATCGATTTTAATCGGTAAGTATGTTGTTAGGTATTTGTCTGTCTGTTTGTTTGCGTGTTTGTCTGTCTGTTAGATGCACGCGATATCTCACGAAAGCGAGATTGGATCTGCTGCAGATTTTGCATGTGCATTCATAATATCTCGTACCAGAAGCCTATCGATTTTTGGTGAAATATGTCGTATGATTAGCGAGCTATCAATTAATTAGTTATGGGACACAAGGTGACACTATGGAGTGAGAGCGCTGTTTTGGGGAATCCCCTAACTTTCGATCGATAAGTTTTCGGTCAATGACCGATATTCTCGTCTTAGCCTTCATTCAGATGGTTTAAACTTGTTTCAGAAATGGATTTATGTCGCATTGCGCCAAACACGAGATAATTGATATTAATTATATTTCCTTAAAAAATAATCTTGGATACGCAACTGATGAATTTATATGTTTGATTTTAGTGTAAGGGCAGTTGTGAGATTCAAAATTTGTATCGGACTCAGTAACAATTGCCCCCTCATTTTTACTATATTTATGTAAGCAACAACAAAATCTACATTAACATAGCAATCTTGGCAAAAAGTTCAAAGAAATTGATCTAATAGTTAATGAGAAAAAGCGAGAGAATGAGAAATTTTTCCGACGGGGCAACAAAAAGAAGAAAACGACCAACAAGAACAACAACAACGACATAATAACGAAACGATCCATAGGTCCAATTTGTGTCCAATAATATTATAATAATGATCTATTTACCTGCAATTTTTCGAATATGATTTTGAATCATTGTTCTTAGTTTTTATAAATAAATAGTTTCAGTAAGAGGAGAGGTTTTATTTTTAATCTAGTATTCCTTCCATTTCAAACTAAAAATAAAGAACTCAGTAGACAAATATTTTTGTAGGAGGTATTTAATACATCAGCAGACAAATTGAGGCGAGCGTTGACTACGACGTCTTGTATACGTCATTAAACAAAAAAAAGTAAAATACAAAAAACATGTAAAAGAACAGAGGAGTCTTCTAAAACATTGCGTTTTTATGCTGAAATAGTGAAACTGCGATTACCACTTGCTGACGAATGAAATATAAAGGTGGACGCAATGTAAAAAAGAGGTAGAAACTAACGAGGTATGGACATACAAGATTCTCTTTATAACTAATCTAGGTAACCATGCATTGGGAATTGAAACATTAGTCTATTAAATTCTACTTTATCATTAGCCAAACTAAATAGGATACTAGTAAAATCAGACATTACACATCAGTTAAGATATTTATAGGTATGCAAATGATAACTAGTTTTAACTAATGGACAAATTAGTTTATGAGATATATTATGGTTTTTTGATTTTTATTTCAAGTATTTTCCGGACTTCAAAAATATATTTAAGACCTCCCATTCGGCGCGAGTTTTTGTTGAATTAAAACAGATATTCAGGTAACAGTGAGACTTTGGTCCAACATTGTGTTACTTTTGATCTTCCGCGCGGTGGCAGCAAAGCACCATTCTGAAAACCTATTATATGACGTCTATCTAAGGATATTATTTATGATAACATGAGCGGGAGTACAATTGTAACTATCATTGCAAAGATCTTCTCTTGGTTTCAAAGTCATGTCATCATTTCTTCATCGACTTTCGGCCAAACAGCAATTATCATACTTTCTATTTCATTCGTATTCGAACCTTTATTTATTCGGAAATATCCTTTTTCGCCCCAGTGTCTGCCCCAGGAATTTTGTACAATCTAAAATAACAAAGGAAAAGCTAGATCGGAATAAATTTATTAAATCTCAGTAATTACGATAATTTATTATTCACATAATATAACAATCTATGTCATCCAGTACAACGAGGGTGATTCGATAAAGATTGGTCGGCGCTCCAGAAGTGAGTGTACCAGTATGGAGGTAACTAATTTTGTTCGCCTACTTTAAATCAAGTTGTGTCAATGAACTGAAACCTATGGAAAGGTGGTATATTCACTTGACTAAAACAGACAGACCCCGAATTTGTAATAGAACTAAAATGAGGAAAATTGGAACAAAATTATGGCCTAACCCTAACCCGGTACACACACTACGGGAGTACGGATTGGCCAACATCGGTGAAGTATACTCACCCAATATTTCATTAAACTTCCAAGCCCGTTCCTCTCTTCGCCCCATCTGCAATTTTTTTAAATAATTATTATTTTCATTTTGCAAATATCACAAAAAGATTTACGAGTGTCTTTGTTGAGTACTAAGTTAGGTTAGGTTAGAGAATAATATAGTTATAATCCCCATTTGGATGGCCTCTCGTATTCCCTACTGAGTTTGTGAAATAACGCTTGCAATTATCAATATGCTGTACTTATAGCATCCCTTCGGCATCTACTTTAAAATCACGTGTCCGTAAAACGTCATGGTCACGTCGTGGGCCCAGACCTAACCAGGACTAAAAGATAGCCATAACAGGAAACTTATTCCAGTGGTCTTTTACGACTATTAAGACAATGAATGTTAACCACAGTCTATTCATTTCGAATACTGGAAACTAAACGCTAGAAAAGTCGGATTTTTTTTATTAGGTAACAACGAGAACAATAACAACAACGACATGATAACGAAACGATCTATGGGTCCATTTCGTCTATTTCAGGAAACTAATTTCTATGGCCGGACCTCCTAGAGTATGCGCAACAAGATGGTTGTGTACCAGGTTGGTGTTCAGGTTTTGAGACATCTTGGTGCGCATACTTCAGGAGTACCCTATGGTCTTTTATGACTATGAATGTTGACCACAGTCCTAACCTAATCTTAACATGTTGATTTACACAGAGATCGCCACGAAGACCACCACTATAGAATGCTTTTTACAGAGGGTTCATGAAGTCTTGAAATTTTTTAAGTTGTCAAGGGAATTTAGTGACACATTAGATAGTTTGTTGGCCTCCACATGTGTCTTGGGTGAAATATAAAAAAACTAAATATACATCGATTAAATTAAAACAAACTTGGTTAGCAAATACTGAAAACCGACTTCATAAAAATCGAAATTGTAACGGGACTTTATGAACCTATTGTGTATTACCACTTCCTATACATTGACTTACCCGACAATTTTAACTGAGTGATAACTTCTCTTATTAGAATTGGAAATGTCTTCTATTGGGAATGGGAGAGAATTGTAGATGCCAGATTTGTACATGAAAATATCTTGCGTTATTTTCATAGTTGCTGAAAATAAAATATCAAAACAATTACAAAATTAGAAAAACAATTAGAAAACTTTTTTCTGTATTTGTAGCCATTTCATTGACTACGCCTTTGCATCAAAATTTGAACAATATATCTTATATATTGTTTATAATCATAGCAGTCAGACATAGTGTGTTAAAGACATAGAGACATAGTGTGTTCCTTTGAACGGAAATGTTAAACAACTATAGGTCATAAAGAATATTGGGTACTACCGAAGTATGTGAACCAAGATGGCGGACACGGGAACGTAGTATGTGTACCAGGTTAGCGTTAGGCCATAATTTGATTTCAATTTCTCTTTTTTTAGTTCTATTACGAGTTCGGGGACTAGCCAAGTGACTCACGTAGTATTTGTGCCTCAAATTATAACTTAATCCTAACCTGGTACACGTACTACGTTTCGGTGTCCGCCATCTTGATTCACATACTTCAGGATGACCGAATATGGATGACCGCTTTCATTATCTCAGTCAGGGTAACATACCACAAGTATGTAGTTTAAATCAACATTAGCCCGATCACACAATCACAATCATGAGGTTCCTAAAGTATTTTTCCTTTGGCAAACGGAACGAGAACTCATAAAAGAAGAAACAGTTCCAGAACTGTTGATTCAGGTTAGATATACAGACTCCTAAAAAATACCATAACAAACTAAATTTTGCAATATTGTATATGGAAATATTGTCAGCGTCGAATAATGTCTCGACCACATGACCCTTTTTTAATCAAATTAGCTTTCTTTTATTCAAATACCACTTGAACTTGACCAGCATTTACGCCCTATGCTATGAATGAGTCAGTAATATTTATTTTAACTTGGATAATCAATCATAGCATGAATGCTGAAATATTTATCCATGTGTATTTAAACAATTTAGAGAAACGAGCTTGATTACTTTGAGTCATTCCGATCTTAAGTGTATGATCATTAATTTTATGGAGTTCTTAGAATCACCGATATAAATGACATAAATAACCAGACAATAAATTTCAGATTTATGACTCAAAAGTCGGTGATTTCCTTAATGTCTATCTTATATTGACAAATATTTGACTCTGTTTGTTGTTTTTCCTGGCGGAATGTATCTGAAGTTTAGAACATCACAAAAGACAACTATCTGACTTCTTGATTAAGGAGGTCCAATGTACAAGTTACTATAAAAATTTTGGAAGCGGAGTCCTGATTCACATTGATTGAACACCTTGGCAAGATTTTAAAATAATATTGACAAAAAGGTCGTATTGAGAGTCATTACGACTTTCAGAATGCAAATTATTATCGCTTTTGCTGTAAGATCCGCTGCAATTGTCTTAAGACCCTTCCCGGACAGCTGTTCCAAATATTTATATAACCTTCAATGTCGTATCTCGAAAAAGTTTTCGATTTGATCTGCAATACTTGTGATATGTATCATTCTCACAAAACACGGTTCAAATAAATCTCAAACAAGGTATAGTTTTATAATTTTTAATATATGCTAGGTATAAGTTTTAGTAACCTCAAAAATACAAGGAAGAAACTACGAACAGGAAAACGTATATTAAAATTGAATTGGTATTGACCAGTATGAGTTGGGTTTACCATACACCGAATCGAAAGCTTTTAACTTAAAGAACAGTGTCTTCTCACCTTGCACTGGTCCATTATCTTTTATTTCTTTCATAATATCAAGTACATTATTGTTGATTTTGTAAGAAGGCCCCATTTTATAAACTTTATTGGTTCCCTTTTTAGACGGGCATTTTCCTCTTCGACTTGGAAATCGACATTTTCGAACTTTTCCTCGTCGCTTTGCAGTAAATGGGTAACATTCCGATGAAACAGCCCTAAAAAAGTATTGCAAAATGGAATGCTATAAGGATAAGCCAATGAATGTACTCGGTAAAAACTAGACGCTCTGGAACCTTAGATTATTTTAAACTTTTATGTACTCTTACATGAAATATTCTAGGAAAAGCGTGGCTTCAATTTTCTTTTTCTAATACATCTAATGGAAAATGTATGAGACGTGCATGTTTGCTTACTCAAATTTAGGTCATGATACCTCACTCTGATGAAAAAAAAAAATGAATCACGAAAAAAAATATCGGAATCCAAATTTTGTATTGGGACGTTTGGAGGTGTCCTAATGCAAATTTATGCGAGTCGAATAAAAACCGCTCAATAAAAAATCGAGGACAAATTCAATCCTTTCATGGCGTTTGCAAAGCTACTATCACATCGCATAGCTTCTTATATTCTTTTCATTGCTTGCACTAACTATACTTTTAAAGATTTCACATCTCTGCTTGCAATCCAATCTATTACCTCACCCATGGTGAATTAAATTGGGTGGACAATGCAGAACGGGGAAGATTCCCTTTTTTCCAAAAGCAAGTAGCTTCTTACCTATCGTTAAATATCAGTTTGCACAGCGCTTTGTTTTGAGTAAAATACGATATAGGCGTTGTATATGAAAAATAAAAATGAGTATATATAACTATGCAACAACCACAAAAAAATTGCAAAGTAGAGGTTATTGCGAAATATTTTCTGGTATGGTAATAATAATTATACAGGGTAACCCAAATTAACAGAGCTCAGGTCATTTGAAGAATATTCTCGAGCGAAAATAACTTTTGTGCAAAGCTTCTTAGATTTCTGAAACCTTTAGGTAAAATCATACACAAACAGAAGTTTAATTAATAGATAAATTCTTCGTCATTCCCATAAAAGTGATTACAAAAATTATGGTTGGTGTTTATACTTTATAGTCACCCTGTAAATTTATATCTTCGATTACTAACCCTTTCCTACGTAGGAACCACCAAGCTCTGTCGACTCTTTCTTTTCTGCAGTTCTGTCTTTTTTTCTTTTTCATTTTATGACGACATGAGAGTAAATGTTGAGGAGATAAATCTGGTTTGAGTAATCCATTTGATTGAATTGCTAGACGATCTGATGCCACACCTGGGACAAAGCATTAAAGCAAACATGAAGTCACCAATTGCATTTATAGATGATCTAGTACTAAAAACATTTTTTGTTGTATATGCTAAAAATGAAAGTTAGTTTTAAATGGGATTGTCATAAGTTGTTTGAGGTTGGTATATATCGTTCGTCAAAATTTACCCAAACTAAAAATATGTGAGAATAATATACTCAATAAAATTCATCCTTCTTCTAAGAAATATCAAACATATCTGTGAACTTTCGTTAGATCACAGTCCAATTTTTCAGACAAAACTGGTTGTTTAAGTATCTTGTTTTGTTTGAAACAGTTAGATATACTTGCTATTTCATAGGAAGTGATTATGATATTTCTTTTTTCAAACTTGAATACTATCTCGTACGGCGCATACAGCTACTAAGTAGAAAGTAAGGAGAAAGGATCTACAGTTTAATATTACGTAATATTCTGGTACCCTCTAAAAATATATAATAGTTGTTTCAAAACTAACTTGTTGTGGAAAATGCCCAGGAGCTCCCACAATTCCCTTGGTCACGTGGTGGCAGTATGTACGAGGGCCACCGTAATCTTGCGTCAAATTCTTTTGGCAATTCTTCGCTGACGTGAATTTTGATACCGGTCATATTTCTGGGAAGTGAAATAACTATACGTTACATTTCAGCGGTGTTTCCAACTATAGTGATTATTACCTTCTGGATAATATTTGAATGATATATTATAAAACTTAGGCGAATGGTGATGTCAAACATGTTGGTCTAACTCTAGTCCAAGGGTCACCAAACTACGGCCCGCAGACCAGATCCGGCCAGTGGCGTCGTTTCATCTGGCCCGCAATAAAACGGAAAAATGGCGAATTTTTTTCAAGGGATGTTTCCCCGAGCATTGATTTTCTTGTCATTTCGTAACATTGGCCAATCAGCAAGATGCAAAAAGTGCCGTAATAATAGACCCTTTCGCCCCTGCTCAGACACTTTTGTCAGAGAATTTTTGCGCTTTGCATTTTGCGCTAAAAGTACAAGTCACGTTAACTTTTGTACTGCTCACATGCGAATATTCATGACAGCGATTGTTTTGCCAACAGCTAACCTCAGGATAGTTGTCTAGAAATCTTGTATATTTGTTTTGTTATGATGTTCTTGATCTATATTCTGCGATATAGAATTTAATATTCAAGACTTCAGAAATGTAGAATTTATATTGTTGAATAATTTGAATGGATTTTCCGACTTTTAAAAATTTGTTTTATTGCATTGACAAAAAAATTTGTGTGTTTCTACACAGTTTGAGTCATACCTGGAACGCGGTCAAAAATAGTTTGATGACCCCTGGTCTATTCCAAAAAAAATCGAGTTTCATTTGCCGTTTCTTCCGCCACACAATTGTATCAAAACAAAACTGCAGAGGGTTGACGCTTTTGACGCCATGTCTAATGCAAAATTGCTTACGTGTGTCTCAGCTTTCAAATATTCAAGGCCAAGAAAGTGAAATCAGTTTGGTTTATAATCCGTTGGGCTATTGGGCTTTGTTATCTTCTTAGGGTTAAGATTAAATAGGAATAATAAAATACAAAATCCGATAAACGTTCCGTATCTCGTTAAATTCACACTATGGGTAAGCCACAACTGATATGCGTATCGATAAAAGCCTTTTCAACACTTTTGTGGTTTATTTAATTGTACATTCGCGGTTCGTCTGTGATATCACAATATTAGAAACCGCCCCCGTGGGAGTTGTCAAGTATAAATAAATCCAGTGAGGCAATATCTAATTTCGCACGTGTCGCGAATAAACTTCATTGATCAAATTGAAATAAGTCATTAAAATGATCACCTTACCACCTCAGGTGCTCTCTTTGTTCCCAGTCTATACCGGATGCCGTTGTCTAGTGTCTCACCCCAGAAAAATGAATAATTACCGGCAGTCCATCCATACTCGCCTAAAAATAACAATTTGATCAAATGAGGACAGATGTTTATATTGCGTCGGTTCCAGGGAATGATGTGGTCGCCGCTCGTTTGTGTAATAACTTTTTGAAAAAAAACATCAACATTAGAACATGAAATTTTTCAGTCACGTAAAAAAACGTATACGAAGATGTTTTTATGACTGGCAATGCAAATGACTTGCTGGTACCGCGTTCAGTCGATGTTGGTAACTAACACATTATATCATATTTATTTGACATTACTGATATAATTTATCAGCTTCGATAAAAATGATACAATCGTCAAGTCAACGTCAAAGACTCTTGAATACCGCGGCAATGTGTTTATCCTGGCAGATTTCTGGCTTCGTTTATACCTCATTTTCTACCAGATTTGTTCCGCAATTTGCCGTATCGTAGTTATGATCCTATATCTCAAGGGTGGGCACGGTTTTTAGATCAGGGGCCAAACATTTTGCCAACCCGAACTGGCGAGCCGTGTAAGTATGACGTAAAGAGTCACATTTTATAAATAATGTTGACAATGTTACAAAAGCAACAGTGGAAAACGATAAACCTCGTGCCAAAACTAAATTTAACCGCAATCTCCACAAATTCCTCGAAGTATTTTTAACAAAAACATAAAAATTTGGTTCCAGTTTGGTTGTGGCAGCATCAAGCGGGCCAGATTGAATTACCTAGCTCAGGGCTACTCAACTGGCGGACCGCGGTCCGAATCCGGACCTTTCAAGTATTGGATTTGGACCGCACCTAATTATTTATTTTGGACCATTAGCCCCACTTTTTGAATTTCCTATTATAAAATGACTTTCATAGTTTTGAATATATACGAAAAGAACTATAACACCATAATAAACAATTTTAATTTGCTACTAATCATTAGTCGGTCGAGGAAGTGCTCGTTTAAGGATGCCGAAATATCATTTCTGGAAAGACCGGACCCAAATAATTTTGCAGTTTTGTTTGCGGACCTTCGATAAAAATAGTTGAGTAGCCCTGAGTCCTAGCTGACCGGATTTGGCCCGCGGGCCGTACTTTGCCCTTGTCTCCTATATCTCCTAAATATGATGTGAACCCAAACAATTTCTTAGTATAGCACAGTGGAAATAGCATGCAATTGAGTTTCATTACAGTAAATTAAATATAGGATTTTGAATAAGGTGTAGTCGCCAAATTGAGCTATTTTCAAAGCACTTCTATTCGAGTTAAAGTCATTGCTAGTTAATGCCAATCAACGATACAGCTCCGATTTATTGTCGAAGCGAAAAAACACAATGCATTCACTTGTTGGCCAAATAAAAAGTCATTAACCGACATCAAACATTACTTTTTGAAGATGAACCTAATCTTACTTGACTGATAGCTGAAAATTTTCCAAGCAATCCCATATGTATAAGTCTCAATCATTCAGTCAGTTGTTTATTGAATTAAAAAGAAAAGAAAACCACGAACGGCTTCGCACTATACTCGACCTTTATATCTGTTATTTAATAATGGTTTCACTCTGTTTTGTTGTATATCAGGGCGTCTTTTCAAAGAAGGGTAAATCATAAAAAGTTTTGCTCGGATTTGATAGATTAATAGCAAAAGTCTGACAGGAATGGTATCTCGAAATCGAATCCCAAACTTATAGAGTTTCATGGAGGCTTCAGTTTTCTGGCATACTTTTGCATTACATCATTTTCGAGTGTCTATTGTCGAATCAGAATCTTTTTGGAATGTCATTTTTATGATTCAATACTCAAGTATCAATCAAGACCAATGTACATTTTTAAAAATGATAAACCAATCATTATGACGCAATGAGTTTATGGGGCATTTATCGCTCTATTTACATACATTATGAATCCTAGATATACCTATTACTGTATAAACGTTTGTACGTGTTTTAATGCAGTCGGCTCGTCCAGGTTCCGTTCGGGATTATGTAAGTTTCGTTAATATTTATGAGCATGTCACGCCTACATTATTAGACTTTGATTCAAAAACTCAATAAAAGTTTATTTATGATAGCAACCGAAATTGAAATTACTAAAAATGTGAATTGCATTGGAAAAATGTACAAAAAATGAAATGAAAAAAAAAAACGTTTTCATCGTACTGTTCAATCCGATTATTTTCCAAAACACCGAACCTTTGGATATCACAGTATTGCGTCCTGAGGTATTGATTCAGAACGATTCATGTTCAGGCTAGCGCGGCCTAATATTAGAGGGGCTTATTTTTTTATTCATAAGTTTACCATTTACTTCTGAACAAAGAATATGTTTACCTCCATTAATCACTTCAATAAGATTTGGTTGAATAAGACACGTATTCTCTTCACATGCAAACTTGTAATATCCATTGATGATTCTTTGACAAATACTAAAATACAAGGATTAGATTCTCAAATCTATTTCATAAGAGAAATGTAATATTGAAACGCTTGACAACGTTTGGATATGGCCTGTGTGAAAATACTTGGCAAAAATGGTTGATTTTGTCACAAATTTCATGTTATGTGATGTCCAAGTATTATACGGGTGCATCTGTAGTTCTGGTTTTATATGTACATTAAATGCAGACTTTTAGCAGAAAAATTGTATCAAACGATCGCGCGTACAAGTTCAATGAGAATACGAGCCAAACGCTCAATAATATACATTTTGAATATTCACGACTGATGAATGTTGATATAAAATTATGACGCGAACCAGACTACTCGACTGAGCGGTCAAACAAACCTGCGAGACACCGTCAAAATTGAAGATACTTTCAATGAATGCTCGAATTATAAAAATTTCACGGTCTGTGCCATCAAAAACCAAACCAAAAGTTCACGTAAACTCAAATTGATAAACGACGCGGTCGCAGTCTTTGTCTACAACGGGATAAATTGGAATTTTCTGAATTCCTTGCAATAAATGGTAAATATTCCTGTATATTTACTGTAAAAGTTAGGCTATTGTGCACCCCACATCAATTCGTGATAATTTTGTTACTATATATATGGTTAAATATTTACAAAAAAAAAATTCGCCAATTGTGTTTAAATCTCAAAAACTATAGGTAGACTTTCGTGAATCAATTTTGCCGACATAATAGGATACACGTTACCTATATTTGAGAACTCGAATTATCTTCTAATGATAAATTTCAAGGACTTGGCTTGTGCCTAATGCTCTGAGCACAGAGAATTATAAACTAATACTTAATAACCAGAGTACTAGCAATGCACCCAACAGCCTTCAGAAAAATACAAATTCATACCATACCATTCATTGCAGTTGAGCTTAATTTTGTCATCAAGTCGGTAACCTGCTCCCTTGTTGTAGCAGACTGTGATAAAAGAAATATAAAAACAAACCGCGTCATAATCGGATTAGATGCATGATGTGGTATTTTCTGCTCCGGTGGGTTGCTCTACATTACTCCCAAGCAAATCCAATTATGGGACTAATGAAATGAAAGTATTTTATCTGCAGATATTGTGGCAGTAATACTTTACAAACTTCCAGAATTTATGAACTTAAATGACTGTATATATAGCACAAATTGCGAAACATGTATGCAGCAAATATAGGTTTTATTGTGGCTTCCTTGATTGTAATCAAGTCTATTGCTTGTTACAGTCTACTACTTCAAAGACATACACAACTCGAAACTGTCTGTCGGAGCAATTACTGTCGAACGTATCAGCTTTCAAAATTTGAGGGGTTTCGCTCTAGCTTCACAAAAGATCAAGGAGAACTACTGAATTCGAACGTTTTTTGATTAAATACTTGGGAGTTGGATCTAGGGATTTATTTATATAGTTGAAGCGTGATTGATGAATATGTTATAATATTTAAATTCGAAAACGAATAGAAAAAATATCTGAAGTTGATCTATTACTACAATTTCTACTAAATGTTTTTTGGACATCCTGAAGTATGCGCACAAAGATGGCGCACAACCTGAACTCAGGTTGTGTACCAGGTTAGGGTTCAGGTTGTGCGACATCTTGGTGCGCATACTTCAGGAGCACCTGTTTTTTAGTATAGCACAACGTTTTCCAATCGGGAAGAAAAGATGCTTTGTATTTGCTATAGCTTTCCTAAAATTGTTCAGTTCTTGTTATTTGTAAACATATTATAAACTACTTGAACTGTACAAAAGCGGAAACGCGACTTGTGCAAAACACTGGCTAAGAATCCATTGAAGATTGGATAAATTTGGTAGTTTTTGTGCATAAAGAGGGCGGAAATGGAAAATTCCAAAAGTGGCGCAAAGAGGTATTCAACGACAAATGTGAACCATCGATATATAGCTTCTATTTTTATTACTTTAGTGCAGGGGTCGGCAACCTACGGCCCGCGGGCCGGATCCGTCCCGCGGAATAGTATAATCCGGCCCGCGACGCCTCACCGAATTATAGTAACAAAACAGCTATTTCGACGATTATATTCTTTACGTAACATAATTTATTGTGAGACACAAGTGCCTAAACTATATTATAACCTGATAAGTATATAACTCACAATTACTCGTTTAATGAGCCTATAATTTAATTATAATTAGACAAATGGCAACAAAACGCAGAAAAGTTGATGCTGAGATGAGTGCAACGGGTTCAAAGGCGCAGAAAATAATTAAATGAAATTTTTTGAGATGCAATGCAATGAGGAAATAAATCTATATTCTATTCGAGAGATGTATCACTGCTTGATTTTTATTATAAAAAGAATAATCTTTCGGTTTTCAATATACTAAAAATATGTCCGGCCCGCCAACGACTTGCAACCCTTAATTTGGGCCCGCGAGCGACAAAAGGTTGCCGACCCCTGCTTTAGTGTATATGCTGCTTATAGAACCATTATCGTCGTGCCGATACTGATATGTACTACGAGAATACCCTAGTTGCCTAGCATATAAGCGAGATTGAATTTAATGTTTCATGTAATTCTCAAATCAACATGGTGAAATAAATATTTTTTGATACTTATGAAGTTATGAAATTTGTAAAAACGAGACAACAAAATCAAAGAATGATGCGTGCATTTGAGAGCTTAATAATAAGATTGATTGATTCTAATTAATCCTAAATTAATAGATAATCCCAAATCTCATTGTTTAAAAATTGTAAACACAACAGAAAAAAGGAAATATGATAGAGGGCATATCTCGCATCTACGATTTTTTTCAGTAAACTCAACATACTAGTATGACATCACACTCATTTTACAATAGTCATCATCTATAAATTTAGGGTATAATATAGTTCTTAATCAATTACTGTAATCTTGATTACAACAAAGGTGTACGCACAATTACCGTTTTACATTTTTAGTGATTCACATTAACTTTTTTTTATACTCATATACATTTCCTGGCGCTCCGGAAATGCATGTATCAATATGGAGGTAACTAATTTTGTTCGCCTACTTAACATCAAGTTGTGTAAAGGGACTGAAACCTATTGGCAGGGGTATATTCACTTGGCTAATACATACAGTCCCCGAACTCGTAATCGACCTAAAATAAGGAAAATCGGAATAAAATTATGACTTAACCCTAACCTGGTACAAACACTACGGGAATACCCATTTCCTATTTAAGGTGAATATCGAATGCCTGTCTACCTGCCTCACATCGTAGTTCACAGACTACTTTAAATTGCATTATTCTTTCTTTTTTGTGTCGTTTGATTTATGGTTTAAATTGTAACAGTATTTTAAATTCTAAGTGATTCAAGAGTCTTGCTGCACACTGACACAAAAATATTTCTGTAACGTTTCGTCTGACCAAGGTTGGACTTCCTCAGACATATATAGTTCCACTAGAACAGGGGTCACCAAACTTTTTGGATCGCGGGCCGGGTATGACTCAAACTGTGTTGAAACGGGCCGGATGCATATTTTTGTCAATGCAATACAATAAATTTACAAAAGTTGGGAAATCCATTCAATTTATTCAACAATAATATATATTCTACATTTCTGAAGACTTGAATATTAAATTCTATCTATATCGCAGAATATAGATCGAGAACATCCCAGGAAAACAAATATACAAGATTTCTATATCTAGACAACTATATCGGATGAACTTCAGTATTTTGGAAACACACCTAGTCTACATGAATATCCGCATTTAGACAGAACAAAAGTTAGTGTGACTTGTTAAATTGGAGCAGTACGCGAGGAATTACAGTACTGTTAGCGCAAAATGCACATTGGACGTTTATTTTAGCACAAGAAACATGAACTGTTTCGTAGAAAGCACGCGCCACGAGTGTACAAGTACATCTTTCGCAGAAAACGTTGCGTACCGGTAGAGAATTTAGCCTATTTTGTCACTGCTATATTTTTAGATTAATTTTTTCATTACTACTATTAAAACTACAACTCCTAAGGAGGCAAATGATAATTGACTTATTTGATTCATACTTAAATTTCCGATACACAATTAAAAACTAACGAATAGCATTCAAAGTCGCAAAAACGAAATATTGTTTACAACCACGACTGAAAATCTGTCAAGGTGACAATAGTGTCTGAGCGGATGCGAAAAGGCCTATTATTACGTCACTTTTTTTTTTGCAACGTGCTGATCGGTCAATGTTACGAAATAAACAAGGAAGACGATGCTCGGGAAAATCTCTCTTTGAAAAAAATTTAGCCATTTTTGCGTGTTATTGCGGGCCGGATAAAATGACGTCGCGGGCCGGATCCGGACCGCGGGCCGTAGTTTGGTGACCCCTGCACTAGAACAAGAAAAGCAGTTGCATGCATATATAAATAATCAGTGTACAACTATGGGAGTTCATTTCTGTATACTTGTATGTAAAGTCTAATAGATAATCGACCGAAACAACCGTATATAAATGAAGCCAGATGGTTTATAAAAGTATGATCAACTGTTTGAAAACATGCTTTTATATCGAATATTAATTCAGATTGCATCGAATTAGTTAATTAAACTAGAGTCAGATTGGCGATCTCTTGTAAGGTGGAAGATCCGGGTTTGGCGCGATCATAGTGCTTTACTTGCACTTTGACCGAAACAATAAAACAATAAACCGCCAAATCTCATGACTATAAAAGGGTCTATGATTTTCATTCATTTGCTGAGTACTAGGCAAATAATGGGACGCCCTACTCAGTCAGCTAAAACTGCTTCATTTATATTCACTTTTATGAATATGCGCGGTAAACCCAATTGTTTAATTTAAACCTATCAATCTAAATTATGGTATACCATATTATTTAAACATTTAATCAGAAACTTGAACCACAAAGTATCATATCTGCGATGAGTTCTTCATCAATATCACTTAACACAGGATAAATCATTTCATTTCAGATATTTTCGACTGAAAAGCAAAGATCACAATGTACGTGCAATCTGTTATAGCGATTGAATTATCGTGAAGTTATAAACAATCTTTCGTCAAAATAAAAATTATCACATAGTTTATAAACTGTTTGTAAATTCTTGGCATCGAATATACCGCATGGCCGAAGGTTCCAGGCTAATTTCACGTTCGCGCTTTTACCATAAAACGAGAAACATCCGATCGGTGGCGACCCCGCAGGATTAAGCAGCTCCAGACGCCGCAAAATAAACTAGATTATCCTCGAGGAATGACACTTTGTTTTGTGTAAACTGACATCTGTGTATAAAAACGCGATGAACAGGAAAACAACAACGCACGTCTTTTATTATTTATTCTCGTTCAATGTAATATTTTAATATATTTGTGCTGCTGTAAACTTCAATATGTCAGCTAGAAACATGAAATATTTCGAAGGTTAATAGTCACCTGCCCACAAAATATGATCGTATGTAATTCATTAATCATTTTGAACCAGATTTCTCGCGATAGCTAAAATAAAAAAAATCATTAAATCAATATGGAATAAGCCGGTAATTGTCGAGTTTGATTTTTGAAGAAATTTCGCAATAGTTTTACGACTGGGAAACCCGTAATGCAATTACATACCGATGTTATATGCATATTTAAACAGATTAGCAAAAAAATACCAAATTCAAGTTTAAGAATATCAATAAGCTATGCTCAATCTGAACCCGCCTTATTATTATATAATGATTACGTCACTCTACTCCGATAAAGATTAAATTCAGTGTAATTTTATGAAGCGCTTTCACTCATATCGGAATAAGATTCATTATCCCGTAGATCTATTCAACAGAATGTGCATAATGTTGACATGAAAAAACTACGGCCCGCTGGCCCGTTGGGTAATTCAATCTGGCCTGCCTGATACTGCCACAATCGAACTAAAACCAAATTTGTATGTTTTAGCTGATAATAACTCAAGGAATTTGTTGAAATTGTGATTAAATTCAGTTTCGGCACGAGGCCTATGTAACATTGTCAATATTGTTCACAAAATGTAACTTTCACGTCACACTTACATGACCCGCCAGTCTATTTGGGGGAAAATGTATGGCCCCGGGTAAAAATAACCTTGCCCGCCACTGGTATAATGGCATTCAACAAACACAACTTTTTTGTTCTTCGATCTTGCTACAGAATTCCTGTATTACGAATACATGCACACGAATCAACGTCACACTTGCACAGAACAACGATTAGTAGTTAGTGCCACCCTTAAGTCGGTGCCATTTTTCCTATTTTAGTTCTATTACGAGTTCGGGGACTCTCCGTGTTAGCCAAGTGAATATACCCCCTGCCCATAGGTTTCAGTCCGTTTACACAACTTGATGTAAAATAGGCGAACAAAATTAATTACCTCCATATTGGTACACACACTTCGGGAGCGCTGTTTTTTTATTATTATATGTGTATTATCTTTTAATCGCCAAAAATAAATCTTAAAGTTCTAGATTGCGCTCATTTAAAAAGATTTGCTTCAATATATTTATTGGCTTATTTCAGGTAATAAAACTATTTTTCTTGGAAGGCAATTAAATGAGATGGCGAGGGGAACGATTGTTTTGATAAAATAATGATGAATGACTTTTGAGACGCCAAGTACTTCTTGACAAAAATTCACGTTATATAAGTAAACGTGCAGTCGTGATTTTTAATTTTATGACTATAATCAAAATATTCAGATCATTCGCTTTAATCTTCATTGTAATTTTTATGAACTATAATATAGTTTCGTTCAAATGTTCGCGAGATTTATATTCAATATTCCGAGCAAGAGCTTTTATCAGTATAAACATAACTGACATGAATTAATTTTATCAGACGAGAAATCGTCTTGTGATTTGTATACATTGTCAAATTCATTCATACTCTTGTAATATGAAATAAATTTATTGGTGGACGAGAATTCGTAGAAGTTTTGATTTTTCGGTTTGTACATTATTGTTTGATACAAAAATAGGACGACCAATTTTTTACCGATTTACTATCTGAATTTACTTCGCAATATCATAGAAATTTCTTATATTTCTAATAGCATAAAATTCTGCAGAATTTCTGTCAATACCGTTCTCGAGGTTAAACCGTTTTGCAAACAATATTCAATATCGAACGTCAAACGTTTTGTTTCCGATATAACGCCTTTTATGCGAGACATAGCCGGCGGCAACCAACGAAAATGTCGCGGGAAGGCATCTCAAATACCATCTTTCCAGGCTTGGTTCACAGATACCTTAAGTATTGAATTGGACTTGGCCGTGCAATTTTTACTGAGCAATATTCTAGATTATAATGACTGATGAACTTGAACTTTTGAAAGACGAGTCAGCGCTATCAAGTCTTTGAAGTTGCAATTTTAGAATTGATTTTTGATCAAAATTGGATCATTTATATAAAAAAAGTCAAATGAAAAAGTCAGTTGATTATAAATAAAACCAAATAACCGCTCTGTTCATGAAAAAGGTCATTTCTAAACTTGGTTTATTCAAGTTGATTTGCACTCAATAGTTCGGGGTTTCACACACAGGTCTCTCATAGCTGCCTAAAGACAATTCCTCAAGTCCCAAATACGATTCTGACAATATAAACCTATCAAGACAAATTAATTTAATATTTGACTTTGATTTTGAACGAAAAATAAATTTGCTCTCCGTCTTGATCGAGTAACATAATAGTACTTTTCAAACATGGTTTACTTGGTATAATTACATTAAAAAATTTCGGCTTTCAGACATGAGTCTATTGTAGCTTACTCGCGGGCAATACTCAAAATATGATATTTGCAATTAAATATCTCAATACAAACTATTCGTCATTTAAAATTTAATCACAATGTATTTTTGTCGATTTTTATTCTAATAAAATATTGTTCTCCTATACTGGAGAACTGCGTAATGTTTAAGAAAGGAATAAATAAACTATCCAATCTTGGTTGAAATACCTTTTTACACAACGCATAGTCAAGCCTTCTCTCCGAACAAGACAACGTAAAAGCAAGCAGCCACTGATATCTAACGATCACTAATAATATTTTTGAAAGAATGACAAGGAATTAGATTTGGTTCCAAATGTAAACACATTTAACATCTTAAATTATCAACTATAGTCTTATATATATTCATAAATAGGGCATTGTAAAATGATAACAAGGCAAAGTTTGAATTCAAATTTTACCTTCTTGAGATAAGTCATGCTCTGTTGTGGTGGACAATGTTGTCATGGGGATAGTATGAAGAGTTTCTGTCGATTCTGCAGTTGAGGTTTTTTCGGTCGGAGGTTTTGTATGTGAGGTTATTTGTGTGGCAGTTGAGGTAGAACTCGTAGTACTTGTCGTTGTCGATTTGGTCGATGTTTCAAATCCTACCGAGAAGCAATAGTTCACATAGTCTGGACAACAATCCTCTGCCCTGTTACGATAACAGAATTCATCACAGTAGCATGCTGTGTCGTAGAACGGTACTCTGCACGCATCGTCTCGCCCAGAACAGCAACGTTGACTTCGACCCGTTTTATCATATCTTCCGGCGCAATAAGGTCGAACCGGTCTTGGCCCTACCAAACTCAAAAACACTCCCTTAGTGGTGAATTGACGTTTTGTCCGTATGTGGATTCTGTCGCTTTGAAATTGACTTTGGAAGTCAGAAGATTTTTCAACAAAATATTCTTCATTACTTTGTTGTATTGTATCCACAGAATTAACGTAACAGTTTAATATAGAAATAATGCAGATGCATTTCAAATAAAGTCTCCTACGTTTCATGTCTTGAATTCAAATGTAAATTTATTAATTCATCAGAACATGATTATTTCTGAATTCTCACCAAATAAAAGTTCATTGTGGATATTGCGTAATGTAGAAAATTTGGGCACAAAGGTGCCAATAATTTCGACTTTGCTTGCCAATCCCACAATTTTTTTAATTTAAAACAATATCCAAACTTGAACAAAGTACGTATTTCATGCTAGTTATATTAAATCGCAAATACAATACGTTAGACAGCAAACAAGCAATACAACATTGTTATAATCTAATATGATTTTCTATCAAAAGACGAAGTCCTACCCTTTTTATCTCAATATTTTATTTATCTAGCAATCATCAATGCAATTTCGACAAAAGTTTGTGGAAGCAAGGTAAAAAGAATTTTGGGGCAACATTTTTATCAAATGAATCGATTTTTCGAAAATATTCACTAAAACTGGTATTCTCTACAAACGAAACTACAATAGGATAATAATAAATTACCAATTATCCAGAGTCGTTACTATCAACAGAATTTGAAAAAGCGTTTTGCCAAACTACCCTTTCCCGATCAGTCTAACACCGCTTACATATCTATAGTAGTATGTATATCTCACTGGTTCCTCTTATAATTTTTCTGCAACGAGACTATCAAACTTTACTACATTATTCCTGGGCGCACTCAAGTAAAAGAAACTATTATAACGTAAAATCCGACTGCTAGGACTTTCATTCCACGAACTTTGACCAATCTGGATACTACAAACGAATGGAGGGCTATTTTAAGAACCTTAAAAGTAAACACATATCTACACTAGACTGTTTGCACTGGCGCATAAAACGTGTCCTTTGGTTTACCTAAGATCTCGGATAAGGAAATATAACGCCGCCGAGAGAAACAAAACCGATCAACGATATGAATTCGACCGACCGTGCCTCAGAGATACATTTCCGACGAATGCCAGATCAAAATTCCGAAACGTCTGCAGGTGGTGCGAAATCGAGAGTGAAATATGACGTACGATATGATAATTTTCTCGAAAACCAGTTCGCGGTGAAGGCATTCTTTCGATCTATAGAACTTGATGTGGTGGTTTGGGAAGTGCCGGGACTTAAAAATTTTAAGAAAATATATTTTGTATTGAACTCACTAACAACATACATTTCAGAAAATGTATGTATATCACTACGTAAGCTACATTTATATGACACACTTTACATAAATCTGATATACAACAACTTTCGGAATACCAAATTTAACTCTAGTTTTTCAGGTGCTGTGCACGTTACCCCTTTTCTACTGTCTGATAACGTCAAAAATAAGAACGGGATAGCAGAATATCATGGCATGTTAAGAGTTCCCTTTTCCCACTACAGCGCTGACGGCACGTTTTATAGCTATTAAGTTGCGTTTAAGACACCGACCACAACGTAAACTACAACAGCTTAAACTTTATACTGTCTTTCTTTTTTCTTCGTCGTCTTCAAAATTTAAAAGAAAAATCGCAAACGACTTAAAGTGCGTAGATGGGTTGCATATCTTCAAAAAGTAGGGAAGATAAAAATAGGTAAAATGTACATATATTTCAACAGCAAAATAGAAGTTGATCCATAATATTTTTTTAACTGTTCGTCTATCTTCTTTTTCAATTGGTTTGTCGTTATATAGAAGCAATACTGATAAGGTATAATGTAACACAAATAGCTGATACTTGAGATGTGAAGCAATATGCCGTCTGGATTGCTTGACAAGTGTTGATAGCGACAATAACCGGGTACTTACTGACCAAACTAACGACTGTTTTAACATATTTACAGAACATGACATCCGGCAGGGGAAAGATAACGAATAACTAAAATACTGTTGAAATATATGTTCATTAAGCAGTGTTTTCACATAATTCAAGACCCTAAAAGCTGCTCAAATGGCACCCCTAACAAGACTTTGCTAATGAGATTCAATGGTCGGAGTCGGCATACACCTACGTTGTTGTAAACCTACCTATTTCCAGTCAGCGTGCTAACCACTTTAAAAAATTCATCGAAAACGATTTAATCACGAAAACGAAATGTTGTGTCATTTTTTTTTATTTTTATAGTTCTAGTCTGCAAGATCTTTTTTTGCAATATCGAGTGAATGCTAGATTTCCTAGAGTTCTAAAACCCCCGTCATTTTCTGAATTTAAATTTGTTCCGGAAGTGTTCTTATGAACGTAGTATGCGATCAAATTAAAAATCAGATGTGGAGAAGAGAAATAAAAATTATTATAAGTTAATAGAATTATTCATATTAAAAAGTGATTTTTAGATTGAGATTCGAAGAAAAAGGCCACCCTCGGAATTTGACTTAGGTTTTTGTGACCTTTTGCCGCAAAATGTAATTTAATCACGACCAAACAATTGACACTCAGCCCACAAATTTTGTTCAAAACAAAGTACTTTTGTACAAATCTTCCTTTGTTTTGTCTATAGCCAACAAAGCATTACCGCAATCAAATCTTTAAACAAAAACAAATGTATATCAATGCTAATGGCCCGTTTTATTCTTCTTGTTCAATCATTCTATGTTTTCAATATTACCTAATGAGAAGTGGTTCCCGATGCTAAAAAAGTTAGCAAAATAAATTTCAGGGATCAATTGTGGTTGAACGAATCATATATATTACCTAATAATAGACTATAAATTGTATTTTGATTTGGTATGCAGTAAATATTGTGACAATTGTTGTCAATTTCAAAACGGAAACCAGAAAATGAGATTCCTGTGACTAATATTAGGTATTTGCTACAGAAACAAATTAAAACTCTAAACAGGCAATGCAAAGAGTAAATGACTTATTGTTGCCACTTGAGAGTACTAAACTAAATAATATACGAGTCTAAGGAAACCAATTTTATGACTATCCATTCAGGATATTCGGGCCAAATTATGAAATAATTTAATTTTTTTATTTTTCAGATTCTTCTCCAAACAAAGCCAACCAGGGTTTCAGAAGATAAGATGAACAACTAATGCCAAAAGCAAGATTTTTTGAAGTTTCTAATATCAAATTTAAAATTGTCTACCATGATGAATTTTGGGCGCTCCAGACGTGTGTGTACCAATATGGAGGTAACTAATTTCGTTCCCCTACTTTACATCAAGTTGTGTGAAGGGACTGAAACCTTTGGGCAAGGGGGTATATTCACTTGTCTAACACAGGCAGTCCTCAAATTCGTAATAGAACTAGAATAAAGAAAATCAGAATAAAATTATGGCCTAACCCTAACCTGGTACACACACTACGGGAGTACCGAATTTTATGGGTTACTTCATTTGAGCAATGTTGACACATAATGACATCACACGAACATATATACCTCCTGCGATTATTGCCCGTGATGATATTATTTGTCCCATAATTTATAAGGGCGTGCAAAAAAATGGATGTAGATTAATATTGTCTTAATAGCTGTAGTTTTTATTCCCTACTGAGTGTACGCAACGCCACCATGGTCGTAATTACGCTATTCGAGAACAAGTCCATAATGCTCACAAGTAATGACACGATCAGTTGGTCTGTATCCAATATGAATTTCAATTACAGATGGGTCAAAAATTTCCAAAATTTTGAGTGCGTGTGATAAAGTGAATGTCTTATTTAAGAGTTAAAATTTTAACCCAAAGCAAGATTTCATATATTGGCATATATCATAAGTTACCAAGGATTGAGGTCGGGGGCAATACAACCTAAATTCCGGTGTTTCCGGTATATCTTTCTATGATAACATTACTTCGTTGTCGTGGACCTAAAACCCGTTAAGAACGTGCTATATGACGCATATGACATAATCCGGGCGACCTGAAGTATGCGCACCAAGATGGCGCACAACCTGAACTCAAGTTGTGTACCAGGTTAGGGTTCAGGCTATGCGACATCTTGGTGCTCATAATTCAGGAGTACCCATAATCCTTTGGAATTTTTTAGGGTTGAGAATGCAGTTTTTGAACTAGCGATCAATTGATTGGTGGTCCTAAACATCCAGAGCCCGGTTTTTTACTTTCCATACGATGACAAATTTTAGTGACTCAATCGTATATGCGGATGCAATTGACAGGTTTCACTAGTTTGAAATGGAAAATGCCACTCAATGTTATATCAATAGAATCTAACTTATTAAAGTCAATTTCAATTCATGTTGGCATCGTAACTTCTTAATCAGTTTTGATTTCTGTCACTAAATTTAAAGCCTGTATAGTTTGAATTACGTTTTTGATAATTTTCTGGTTTCCAATGTTTTATTACTTGGCTCTCGGAGTATTTATTTATATTATGTATCTATGGACTATTTTATGATCATGTGCGACATCCTGCGGTAAAATATCAATGAACGTCCGCGTGATCATAAAATACAAAACTCTAATGTCCACGTGTGCTCGCTTTTGGGCTCCAGAAGTATGTGTACCAATATGTAGGTAACTAATTTTGTTCGCCTACTTTACATCAAGTTGTGTAAAAGGACTGAAACTTATGGGTAGGGGCATATTCACTTGGCTAGCACAGACAGTCCCGAACTCGTAATAGAACTAAAACAAGGCAAATCGGAATAAAATTATGGCCTAACCATAACCTGGTACACCCACTACGAGAGTACAGTTTTTGGCCATAGTTTAAGATTTTTGCAATTGTGGATACAATACATAAGTATACTACAAAACACCTGGCTTGAATTTTTTTTGGGGGGTGACGTAACTGGCAGAAATAAAGCACAAGATTTTGAATCGATTGATTCTGCTTCTTTGCATAAGCATGTGCGATACGTTTATATATCAGAATCAAACAGTTTCTTGTCATTTGCGATACAACGTGGGATGACCTAATTCATACTTATATATAAAACATTTTACACGATCTCGGACTGTACGTAACCAATTCCTCCAAATATTCTCTCTAAAAATCACGCCAACGATCTAGGACTACTTCTATACGCGAATCACTTTTGAGTCGTCTTAGACAAAATTCATTTCTGATATGATTCAATCTCGCAAAATATTTTTGTATTTTTTCGTCATTGTTTTTCGAAAACGTCCATGAATAAAATAGTATAAATAAATAATCGAAGAAACCATTCGCATACGAAATCTACAGATAACATCATTTTGTAATAAGTATCTATATCAGACTTATAATCATTCCGCCGTATCTTCGAAATCGCACCAGTCAAGTGTCTCAATTTATCATTAGATTAAGATAAAACAAAAATCATTTCTGAATATCAATAAATCTCGCAAAATTTATGGAATTATTTTTCGTCACTGTTTTAGAAAACGTCCATGAATAAATTAGTATAAATAATGGAAGACAGATAACATAGTACATGATAACATCTATATCAAGTATCTTTCTCAGACTTAACATCATTTCGCCGCATCTTCGCAATCATGCCAGTCAAATGTTTCAAATTATCAGTAGAATATGTCCAGCCAATTAAGGCGCTGTAAAACACTCTCAAATGCGCTTTACACCGGAAGCAGCATGCAACGTATCGGTTGCAGGAGCATTTGCTGATTTAAATTTTCTCACGTCTTATCATGACACCGTTTATCGTGTTTTGTGGTATTTATTATTCGCTGTTGGAGGTTTAACAATCGCTCTAGAGTCTAGACTTGTAAAAGAAGATTCGCTTATCTTGTCTTATGCAATGATTTTTATGACTACGTAATAATAACGTTTATTGTTGTAATGATGCTATGTTAATGTGAGCGTTATAGCTTCCTTGAGTTTAGCTGCATTTGCGCCAACGCAGAACTAACAGACGTAAGCACTGGTCGCATGTTTTTAAAGATAAATACGTGATGATATTTTTTATGTATTTCTACTGATGATTTCGATGTACAGATCATTTTAGGTACTCTGGTAGTATGTGTACCAGGTTAGGGTTAGGCCATAATTTCATTTCAATTTTCCTTATTTTAGTTCTATTACCAGTTCGGATACTTCGAATACCTGGTGATTTCAGAATCAAATAGAATATTATTTTCGAATCGAATCTTGGATACTTATAATATAATACCTGAGATATTTAATATTTAAACGACATAATTTACTATTCGATTCGTTTTGATTATTCGATTCGAAATGCCCAGACGCAATTGAACCTCACCATTGATCATGGATCCAATCATTTTATTTGTGAGGAAGTAACTTCATTAAATACATCTTCATTAACTAATGTGCTTCTGAAATGCAAGAATACTTATTTATTTTGTTGCGTTATTTGACACTTCGTGCGCAACCTGTACCTACGTTATTTGAGTAATTTGCATGGTGACTACTCGATAGATGTTTTGATTGAGAAATAATGACGCAATTTGCGTGGTTTTTAAAGAAGTTCATACGTATTCAATTGAATGACGCATTAAAACCTAGTTGAAATTTGGGTCGAACAGTATAGATTTTGACATGACGCGTTCACTAAAATTATAAAGTGGATGAATATATGATCAAAATAAAGACTGGATCTACTGGATTTATGCATCTCTAAAAAGTATGATGAGATATATTTTTAATATTCTTCACGGAAAAGGGAGCAAGTCGGCGATACAGCTAAAGCCCGATTGCCAGTCCAGTCAATTATTTGAAGAAATGTTAAAACAATTGGTAAACAATTGTTAAAACAATACAGTGTCAGAAACAAATAAGCAAGCAACCCGAAATTTTGTTGCGAGGCTGGAAATTATGACAGAAGGTTAAGACTTTTCCTTCTGTTTTGATCAGGAGTTGAATACCGTACATAATTTAATTTTTCAAAGAAGAGATGCAATAAGTACTTGCCAAAATTGATCTGTACTAACCCTCCAAGATACGAGATATAGTACAAATATATATTTTGGGGAATAAATATTGTAGTAACAGTTGTTAAATTCCCAGTCAGCACCTTATTGGTGATATTATGTTTGATAGACGCTTTGAGTCATTTTGGTTTCGGGAAACTAACACTGGATGAGTATGCATCATGCACGCTGTATCGGGATTGCATTTGATAAGTCAGCAGGTTAAGTGCATTACGATATTTAGTGAGTTTACCTGTACGCAAGTTTACCTACACTTCAATTATTTTTTATTTTTTATTTTTGATGCTATTACTAGGGTAATATTATAATATATTTATGACCACACAAAGACTTGAAATTTGGAACTGAAAATTTTCATAGTCAGATGTCAAGATTTATAAATAATAGTAATAAATCTAGTCTTTTTTTCTACCAAAAAGTGCCAACAAATCAGAGTTCTCGAATGGTGAATAGGATATGTTGAGCGTCAGTCAATAACGGTGCACGAAATACGTATTGAGCTTTTAGTTTTAAGACAAGTAGGTCAACAACGACTTAGTGCATCCAACCGGATTATACAGAATCATTATGCAATTTGAATACAAAGAAACACTAGGGATATAGAATGACAAATATCAATATATATATTCGCACAGCAACGCTGAGCACAGCTGGGCTCAACAACGTTGGTCGTGTTCCGCATTCGAGTATAACCCTCGACAAAATATAAAGGTTAGCGTTAGGCTATGGAAGGTAAAAAAAAGTATGCAAGGTTGAAATAAATAGTCAAACGGTTGCACAAACGAAATTATTGGCTATTGTGCAAAGTAAAAATAGACATAGATTGAAAATATGTTTTAAATTGAATTGAATGAGTACATAAGTCAAGGCAAAAGCAATTAGGAAGTGAGCGAATTGACATTAATTACATTTATTCCATAGTAAAACTAATAAAAAGAAACTTTTTTAGGTTAGAAGAGCATCATACAATGTAATTGGGTACTTGAGCACTTCGAAATGTTGTAAAGAAATATATTAAAACTCACCGCAATCTTTTAGCCCAGGTTTGAATGGAGATATGTAATTCAGATACATTTGGATTAATTATACAAGGGATATGTTAAACCATTCGTTACAATCACATTCATTCTGTCAGTTATAACGTGAGACCGTGGAATAGAGCATTATTGACTATTTTTGAGGTCAAACGGCTATCGCAAATCACAAGGGATTCAATGAGTTCTCTTATAGCGTAGGCAAGATATATGTGGAAGTAAGATGATACGTTTCAATTTCCTATGATTGTTTGAAATGCAGCGACTGTATTTTGTTGGAAATTTGCTCTCATTTTGAGCGACATGATATGTATTTCAGTAATTTGGGATTTCTTTCGAAGTCTCCCAAACTAGAAGTTGAACGTCGATACAGATAGAATTTATAGATTTGATTAATCTGAAAATTGACAGCTTTTCCTTTTAAGAATTTGACGTGCAGGAGTATTGTCACCCCATCACTGGCCTTCGTTGTTCTAGACAAATCGTATGATAAGAGAAAATACCCCGATTTCATAATATATATTTGTAGCTTGAAATATACTTGGATATGATTACAAATGTACATGTACTGTTTTTACAGTGTTAGATCCTAATCTTGCGGATTAACTTGTGTATTATCGGTGGAGAAACCGCTTTTCATTTTATTTGTATGTTTCCTTTTTGAACCTTGATGAAATATGGACGGGAAACCGACAACTCCAATTAACGACAACCCTTACAAATTGACGCATCTTCAAAAAAGTGAGTGTATGGCAACCTTTCGATGATTCTTATGAATGCATCTAACATTTAAACACACACTTCTAATGATATTTCATTTTGCAAGTGACACCAAGTTTTTGTGGTAGCTATACATAATGCGTGCTAAACAAGTGTAATGTTCATTTCATTTCACTTCATTTCAATGTATTCAAATATCCCTTAAGCCAAGAACTGTGTAAACGTTTATTCTGGGATGGCGTAATAGAATGATAAAATGTCGAAGCACTAGATTAAATAACCTTATACTAGTATGTATATGCGTCTAAATTTGTTTGTCAATTCAGCACTTAGTTGTTCCTATACAATTTGCGAACGTTCGATATTTAAAATAGCATCCACACACATAGTCATTGCATTCGATGACAACTAAAGAATTAGAATTAAGCATTGCTTGGTCATACAAGTAATATGTATGATTTCTCGTGGGGTTTTGATTAAAAAACTTTCCTCACGTAATCGTTCTCACGTGGCTTTATTAATGAATCTTCAAACATCTTGATGACAGAAAGATGCTGTACAGTACTTTGTTTCATGTCACTTATTGTTCGTACTGTATTTCTGTGATTATCTGGCAACTGATATAGCTGCAAGTGAAGCAAAATATACAAAAAGGAACAATTGCATGACGCTGTTCCGAGTTGCTCTTTGAAAATAACCAAATAAAATCATAAAAACAAACTATAATATACAGTTTAGGGAGATTTGTCCAGTTTTTCGTACGAACAAATACTCAAGTGGAAATATCCCGATCTATCGAGTTCACATCTATCGGTACTGAAAGTGTAAATCACTTCTTAAATGTTTGAATTAGGATTGTGAAACAGTAGCAATAGCAATATCGAAAAACTTAAATCTAAAAGTTTTTTGATAGCGATGATTACTTCGAAGCAATCAATGGCGTTGGATCTATATAGCTCACTCTTGCGAGGGAAAGCCCTATAAAAAAAATTCGGTTTATTACAAGTGCGTGGCGCGCAACTTATCGGCATATTACTTCAGTGTGATTAAATTACAAGGTTATTACCAATCTATGTCTCTTACTAAATATACTTTACTTTATGAAATTTTCTGTTCTTATATCGCAGATCTGATCATATTTCTTTTGGTGGCCGTTATCGCGATCGTTATAACTCTTGCTATTGCGTGGGTAGTTTGGAAACGATGGTGTGGCGAAGAACTGAAAAGAGCAAGAGAAGACAGAGAAAATGGATTTGAAGCAGGTATATGTTATATGCAGGATTTACACCAAGAAAAATGTTCATCTTCATCTATTTTGAGTAATATTGTGTGTTATGTGTCAGTTACATTAAGTGTTATTTTGTTTCCAAAATTTGGTTTTCTCAGAGCGTGTTTTGACGTGTGTGGTTTCGTTTATCTACAGCCAACGACGCGCATTGACTTATATAATAAACCACTTTTGCATTACATTAAGAACGACAAACATTAAATGCTAACTTTTCAAAATGAAGTGCAAAATCTGGTTTATCAAAGCGACAAAAACCAGTTCAATTTAAATATACCCCCTGCCCATAGGTTTCAGTGTCTTTACACAACTTGATGTAAAATAGGATACAAAATTAGTTACCTCCATATTGGTACACACACTCCTCGAGCGCTCAAACTTGTGATAACGGTACATGGTTGATAAAAATCACACCTCGGTTATTTGGAACTTTCCAGAGAGAACATAACTTTCGAGCAAGACATCCTAGATTCCGGAATATAGGGTTCTAGGGTTATTATCACAGATTTCATGTTCAGTTTCCGAGTTACAACTCCGGCGGTACCTGTCGTTAAAACACTAAACTTTGAATTACTAGCAACAGAATTTGAACACGCTTCTACACCAATTCATTACTCGAGACCAATGATGTCTAACCTACGACGATTAAGCAGTAGCAACAGCAGGAGTGAAAGTATATCCTCATTACCACGCTACAGTGATTTAAGTAATTTTGCATGAGCGATCAAGTTTTATTTGAGTAGATTGAAAAATATCTGGTTTTTGAAATTAAATTCTGCACTGTAGAAAAATCAAATGTCATTACTGATTAAAAAACTTTTCAGTCGATAATGATGCAATGCGATGCACAACTAATTTGTGCTTGGCAAAATATTAATCATTTTAACTATTGTTTCATCACTGTCGAAGGATATGAAATTCTTTGATTACAAGATAATCTTATGGATTATAGTTATTTAAACTAGATTTCAATAAACATAAATATTTTAAGCCTTCGAAATGACTTGCAGGTCGCAGTTAATTTCGTGGGAAATTTATTTAAATCATTGTGTAATATTGTCGGGACTATCCTGCAGGTCGTAGGTTTGCTTTAAACATTTGCGCTATGCTGGGACGCACTCAAATCATCCCACTTATGCGAAAGATAAGAAACATTAACACTTTCGACAAAAAAAAGACTTTTGAAAGCAACCACTGCTATGTGAATATGTTGTTCGTGTCCCTTATGAAAATTTTCTCAAATTTCATCCATTCAAAAATTAAAAAAATGATTGTTTTTGAAAACTTTCTCTAGTTCAAATATGTAATTAAATATGAAAATTCGCACATTTTTGTCCACGCTTCCACCATACGGTATGATGATGGAATAAATATACCGACGTTTCATCGAATTATTCTCTATTTCAATTGAACATACTTGGTGATCAATTCAAATCGAAGTAAAACGAGTTTGCGTTCACGTAATAGTCTATGAGTAGTCTCTAACTTCGTGTGACTTATTGGACTAACGGTGACAACAATTTGTGACGACAAAGCTATTATGGAAAATATTAGAACCCATACTCGACAACTAGTCAGAAGAAATTAATTTTTTTGCATAGTTTTGAAATAAATTTTAATATTTTACCCTTGATGCATATTGATTTTTATTTCGATGATTATATTTAGCTTGATTCATTTGCATGCTATTTTTCTTCTTCCTCGTAGTCTGATTACGTATTACGACTGTGATTCGCATAAGCTTAAAAGCTAATTCAACATAAAATGAATTGACGGAAGCAAGTTCTGTGTGACGTCACACTCAGTCATCGAAGTGAAAATAACAAGCTCTGATCAATTATGCTTGATCCATCTCTCTATTATGATTGGCCTTGATTAAAGTACTATGAATGTGACAATATATTCATTCCTGGCTGTCAATGCCTGTAATATTTGCAATGTAAAGGCTGTTGGCATCATCCTGTGTCAACTTTTGTAATTTTGTCATACCAATCATGTGAATATTCTGCAATGTAAAACATGTGATACTGAAGCCCCTGAACTTTCCCCCGACAATGTTTCAATAATCCAATACGGATGAATTTCAATGTTTATAGATTTTGCATTTCCCCGGAATTACTTCATATTATCTGTTCGTAAATTTATGATTGTTTTGCATTACAAATTGTGAATTCTCATGTGTTTATTTTGACTTACTTTATTATTTTATGAGCAAATTCATCATTATGTCTGCTGAAAATTCGGTACTCCTGTAGTGTGTGTATCAGATTAGAGTTTGGTCATAATTTTGTTCCAATTTACCTCATTTTGGTTCTATTACACGTTTGGGGACTGTCTGTGTTAGCCAAGTGAGTACACCCGCTGCTCATAGGTTTCAGTCCCTTTACACAACTTGAGGTAAAGTAGGCGAACAAAATTAGTTACCTCCCATATTGGTAGACACACTTCTGGAGCGCCGAAAATTCTATGGATTGAAAAGTATTGGTGTATTTCTTTGCTAGATGGTGAATTGAATTTTTGATCATTATCTATTTTAGATCCAAACTTTTGGCAAAGCATACACCAACGATCGGTGGAACCATCTGCACCCGCTTTAGAAAGTTTCCGAGGGCCTTCAACTGTACCTGCCAGCAGTTTGGAAACAGTTTCGTCGGAGATGGGAAGGCAATCAGGTATGTGAATATTTAATACAAGGTCATCACGTCTTTTTGTTTGTCAGCGATTCTGAAAACTGCATTTTAGCTGTATAGTTTAATTGATAGTATGCTCATCGCTATAACTATTTTATAGAATATTTCTATCAATGATAGGAAATTAACGGCTATTTTTATTTTTTAGAAGCAACAAATTCCACTGCATCAAGATTGCCTTCTTATGAAACTATTATGAGAGACCATCAATGAAAATGAGCAATCATGCTGCCATTTCGAAAATACCGACATATGTCGCTAAACAAACGCCGATAGAACGATATTTTGACGAGTCTAACAGACAGACTCGTCCTACAATCTCGTTAACGGGCATTTAAATCCATTTTTGAGTTCTTTTTAACTCTTCTTATTCAAATTGTGTATTATATTACCAGAGATTGAAGTTATTTTTTGTTGCTTTTCTACACTGTGACTATACTATTACATATGTTGCCCTATATATAACATTTCGAATATTGTTTTTGTTCATCTTATTTTTATGGAGTGTGTAAAGAAGAGTCAACGCGTCAGCTAAAAATAAATGCTTAAAACATGAAGAAGTATAATTATCTGTTGAGTGAATATTTGAATGAGTAACTTGGCGTTGTGTACATACTTAAAACAAACATATGAAAAGTACGTCATCCGAAAGAATTTGCCAACCTTGCAACAATCTTTTGCGTCATAAGTTGGAAATCATCCGTGAATATTGTATTGCAAAAAACAGATGAATGCACATGCTGTATACTCACCTCACACTGAAACATTGCCCTTCCCTCATGAAGTTATGGGTTTTGTATTATATACTTCTAACTATTTCATTATTAAAGACTATAGTAACTTGTGAAATTTTACCTGGCTATAGGATGAAAAAAAATCGTAGATAATCGTTAATTGTGCTGATCGGTAGCAATTTTTAAATCCGATACGATTACAAAAATTACCCGTGCTCTGAAACGTTTATTAAATCAATTTCGCCGACACCCCAACAAAGCCCACAATCGAAACCTGCAACTTTTATTTGACATTATTAAACACGAAGTGGACCTATGGTTCGTTTTGGTATTATGTTGTTGTTCTTGTTGTTACTGTATGAAAACAATCGATTTTCTCATCAACTACTGGATCATATGCTTTGAAATTTTTAGTGGTTGAAGAATATATTTTTCGCTAGAAGGCCATAACTTTTATTTATCTCAAAACTTTCCGTGGGCTCTATATAATTCGTTTTTCTTTCGAAATTTTGTGTGGTGACCTCTTAAAAATGAATACAAATTATTTGTAGCGGTCCTTCTATCTCTCTCGTGCTTTCCTTTAGCTACACTAAAGTCGAAAATTTTTTGACAGTATATCATTGTCTAAGTACCATCCTACCCAAGTCGGACCAAATTTCTCACGTTGTTTATTTGTTTGAACAGCGATGTGGACCGTGTTGCATTTTGAAGCATGATTTGTAGCAGTTTGATTTTACCTACTCACACATATTCATTGAAAATTCCGACATTCGACGAGCACTGTTACTTCGTTTGCGAATTTACATTTAAATGAAAATATCATTAGAAATGAAATTTGTTCGTTTCCGTCTCTGATTTATACTTCTCTAATCTCAAGTGCTTCGCCAACTTTAAATAGTTTACTTTTCGCGGTGGTGATAACAGCATCTTTGCCAAAAAGCATGCGAATCCATCGGCGCAAAGCATGGAGTTAGCCAATGGAGAAAACCCAATCGACAGATTAGAAACAGTTTGACTCCTCAATTCGAAATCAGTGTTTTCAGATTATTGCAATATCCTGTCATCCCTCTAGCAACGACGTAAAGCACATATAAAGAAAAGGGTCACTGTACGCTTTGTTCTATTTGCGTTTTGATCGTACTATTATTACGATTCTTTATGCCACTAATCACATCAAGTCGATTTTTAAAAATCCAAATGCAGATGCAGAAAACAATAAGCCTCGTGCCAAAACTAAGCTTAATCGCAATCTCAACAAATTCCTTGAATAGTTTTTCGGCTAAAACATCTAATTTGGTCATAGTTGGGTTGTGGCAACTTCGGGCAGGCCAGATTGAACTTCTCAACAGGTCGGATTTGACCCACGGGTCGTATTTGCTCATGTCAGATCTAGAATCTAGATAACATTGATTGAATTTGTTTTTAAATTAGTATTTCGTATGTAGTTTGGAGAGGAAAGGTACGTGGACAACATAAGAATTCTCATAATATTCAAAGCGAAAAAATTGGGTGGCGCGGTTTATGACAGGATGTAACACCACCACAGCCACTGGTAGGGGTATGATTGTATGGACCCAGTTATGATATGAAATACCCAACTATTCAAACATTTTAGATGATAAAACTGAATGAAAATTAGATTTGATGCTAGTAAAACATCATTAAGTAATAAAACGAGAATATCGGCCGGAGACCGAAGACTTATCGATCTTAGATCGGTAATTAGTTAATAACTCGCTAATTATACGACATAATTAACTCAAAATCTATAGACTTCTGGTCCGAGGTAAGATGCATGCACATGCAAAATTTGGAGTAGATTCAACCACGCGTTCGCGAGATATCGCGTTCATCTAACAGACACACAGACATACATACATACAGACAAATACCTATCAATATACTTACCGATCTTAAGATCGATAAGTAACAACTTCTTTTGTAGACTCGAATTTGTCAAGACAACAGAATAAATACAGCAACAGTCAATTGGAAAATAACACTAATTTCAAGAATTCCAATACAAAAGTTATTGTCAAAGTACGTGTAATATATGGAATCAAAATTATTTCACAATATCGTATTCAAGCGTGTTTCGGTATGGCGGTTCAGATTTGAATATTTGCTTAATGAACAATAAAAAAAGAGGTTAGTATTTATTAAATTTATGAGTCTCAGAAGGCGAAATTGAATTTTCGGAATGACTTCGCATGGCAATATCGCACAATCGAAAATTTCCCGACTAGCTTTTATGGAATTAAAGCAGATTGACTCAAAATTCGTAATATTCTAAATTATTTGGTGTTTATAGACTATTCCTATATCTTTCTATCGCTTTAGCAACGAGGTTAAGCAGAAATATGATCGGCATTCATGGATTTCGACAGAATAGACAATGGCCATTGTAAGCGTGGTTATTTAGACTTCATAGTTTGCGTTTTTAGTTTTGACAAAATATCCTCGCTGAAATGATTTTATAATTCGTAAAAAGTTCTGTTCCACACAAGTTACGGTTTTGGTGATCAATCATACGAACATGATGATTTTTATGCCACTATTCGCGCGGTGACGATTTTTCAATATCCAACACCCAACACCACTGCCCATCACAATCTCATTGATAGCGGTTCTAATGCTTTTGACAATCTTTTCTGAATTTTGTTTATGAGGTTAGAATCTCGTACGGAATTTGAAGAGAAAGCGACATGGGCAACATCACGATTTTTATATTCAGAACGAGAAAAGCAGTTGGCGCGGCTTTGTAATAGGGTCGGCATAGAAACCCAGTTATGGTATGAAATAGCCAACTATTCAAACATTCAGGCTACAGAAATGAAAGAAAATTAAATTTAAAGCTAGTAAAAGATTATTAAGTAAAGTAGTACAACGTCTTTTTTTGTTGACCCATAATTCTCAAGACAACAAAATGAAGACAGTAACTTTCGATTGGGAAATGACGTTCATTACAAGAATTCCAATACAAAAATTTACTGTCAAAGTATCTCTAATATACGTATATTTGGCATCACTTTCTACTTACAATATCACAATATCACATTCAGGGGTGCATCAGTATGACGTTTCATATTTAAATATTTCATTAAAAAGCAATAAAGAAAGCGGTTAGTATTCAATAAATTTAAAAGTTCCTCAAGGCGAAGTAGAATTTCCGGAATGACTTCGCATCGCACAATCGACAGTTTTCTGTCTAGTCATGCCGTAACGTAAACGAGAGTGTCACGTGATACTAAAGTCTGGAAATCTCCAGCGGCGGTCGGCATGAGCAAGCATTTTCGTCGAAGGTATATAAAGGGAAGTTTAAGTTTCGATTTCGTCGTAACTTATAGTAGATTTCTGCTGCTCATTGGAAATTTCGAACGAAGTGGAAGAGTGCGTGCTTTCATGTATTGTAGGCAATAAAATGAGTAAACGTAATTAACAGAGCCGGATTTCATTCGCATTTTAAATTAAGGCAAAATATCGAAGATAAAATAAAGTTTCAATATATCATTGAAAGACAATCAGGCTATTGTTTTCATGTTTAATCAGGGATTATTTTAAACTGGATTAAAATACTATTTCTTACGCAATTCCTTGTTCGGATTGAGAATGTGAGACTGTCCCGTGAAAAGTTTAAAAAAAATTTATTTGTTATACCTTAATAATAGCATAACTATAAAACATTAAATAAGTTGGCAGAGGTTAAAGCGTTAATGAAACTCATAAGCAAAGAACTCAATCTATTAGAAAATGTATGTATTTCGCTAAAATAATAAATAACTAAAGTTTTTCTTTTAATTCAAATTTACAGAACGCGTAATTGCCTAATTCTAAGTAACGAAACATTATATATAGGAATTTACTTATAATATTCAAAAGATTGAAAACATCAATTCTTTAAAACAAAATGGAGCAACAACGTCAAATAGTTACCGAATCCGACATGTTTTTAACTCAGGAGTTTGATGACGTCAGCAACAATGAAAAAAAGAATTTTCACAAGCAAAAAGGTGAGATTCGTTTGTTTATTATTTATATCAGGGCTTCTCAACTGTCGGACCGCGCTGAGAATCTGGATACGGATCTTCGGTAAAAATAGTTGAGTAGCCCTGATATATATGATATATTGTAACATAAATTTTGGCAGCACCAACACTTGAATGATTTTAACACACGGATTATAAGGGTAAGGACTAAACTAAGCAAATATTGTTTTTATGAAAATTTTCCACACTTACTTTGTGTTTATTTAAAATTCGAAATTTATTTTTAATTTTTAGACGAAACCAGGTGGAAGAAAATGCACAAACAAGTAAAATCGAACCTGCTGTTAATACTCACTCTTTTGGGTGTTGTTGTCGGGGTGTCTCTTGGTTTCGGTGCTCGGCAATTAGAACTTACGTCGACACAAATCGCCTATCTAGCCTTTCCTGGAGAACTCTTCATGCGTGCTCTGAAGATGATAATTTTACCGTTGATTGTGTCGAGTATTATCTGTGGATTGGCGGGAATGGATGTTCGTTTGTCCGGAAAACTTGGTCTAAGAGCAATTCTTTATTACATGACAACCACCGTCCTGGCTGTTACCACGGGTAAGCTTGTTAGCTGCTATTTTTGCCATATTTAAACAAATGAATTAACTTGGTTATAATTGTATCGAGTATAAACTGAGATATTTCGATATAATTAAAATTACGGGCTTCGTATTTCTAACATAATATCTCAGCGTTTTCCTGTTGCATAATAATCGTTACAGTACCAATCTGGCGCGCGTTAGGCCTGTTACTCCACAGAGCTTTCAAATCAGAATTACTCCCTCTCAAGCTGCGTGTTATCATTTTAGTCGTGCCAACCAACTGTAGAAATTTCTGCAAAAACTATTCCAATAGAGATAGTGAATAATTAGCTTCACAAACATCATTTTCCACAAGTTTTTGACCATTTTGAGGTACTAACATACGGGACGATTTAATATTGAAAATATCTTTCCCATTAATGCATAATATTATTTATTCAGTAATAAAATCAGAATTTAGACTTGTCAGAGCAATATAATTTGTTGTACCTGATATTTGGGTTGTTATTTTCTAATGTTAAGTTATTTCTGTCTCAAATTTTGGTTTTATTGATCAAATTGATGTTTCTGTATTCAGGAATAGTCATTGCTGTAGCCATTCAACCAGGGGCCTCGACAGCGGAGGTTGGAAATAACGGGACTGACGCAATGGATAATGTACATGAGCAAGCAAGTGCGGTTGATTCTTTTCTTGACCTTCTGAGGTGAGTAAAACAATTTGAATCTTGCCGAAGTTTGATGGCCTTGAGTATAGTTAACCCACATTCTTGATTATCTAAGTAGTTGAACATCTGGGATATGATAAACTGTTTTTCCATTATAATAATTTTCTTCTAGTCCATAATATGAGAGACAACGCAGAACCATGAGTTTCTGAAAACCTTCTCCACATGCGAAAGTATAATGAAAATGGCCTCAAGTCGTATAATCTGAATATAATCAATAAACTGATTTCAGAAAATGTCAAAAATACAAAAACGTGGGAATTTTTAACAGAAATGATGAAAAGCATGTAACTGTACAAATAATGCAAAATTAATGATAAATTAATACTTACGTTTTGCAGAAATATGCTCCCAGAAAATATTATCCAAGCAACTTTCCAACAATACAAAACTACTCGAATTTTTGTGGTGTCTGAGGAAAATATACTTGCCAGCAATAAAACAGGTAAATAAAAATTACTTTGAAGAGTTGATTAGCATGTATCCAAATCCGGCCGGTTGGGTAATTCAATTTGGTCCGCCTGATGCGGCCACAACCGAATTAAAACCTAATTTTGATATCGCCACGCTAATAACCGAATTGCGTAAGTCATTTTTGGCGGTTTTGAGTTTTTCATAAAATAGGTATTTATGTAATGCTGCGCACCTGTCTGTTAACTCAGATTTTATTTTAAGAATTCCGAAACCCATAAAAATAAAGATTTTGTATGATACGCAAATTTGTTCAATTGTTTCGTCATAATGAATTATCATTGTTAACGCGGGACTATTATGACGTCACAAAGGCAAAATAACCTCGGCGAAGGATTTTCGAGTTTTTGCATCTCAGATTCTAGCTTAGCGCTTATAAATTTCAGTTTAAACTACAGTATAGGAAGGCGTGCACTTGTGATATTCACTGTCTGAATTCAATTCACCTTGGTTGGCTCTTATATAAGGGTACATTGCTGTTTTATTCTTTATATTTAACTTTAGTTCTATTTCGGTGGATGTGCAGAGCGTGTTTTTTTGAAATAAATATTTTTAAACATAAAAAATAATGTAATTGAAACAGATTAGCTATTTTGGGGATTAGACATCGTATATACTAAGAATTACATTCATTTTTGGATTGTTTTGTTATCAGGACTGGTCCATATAGTCAAGTTGCAAAATTGCGTATGTCCCCTAGTCATAGACACATTTCTGCCTAAGTCACAGTGCGCCATTATGACGTCACTTGACTGCGTCATACAAATTAACTTGAATCCGTCTACGATCGAAAAATTGAACTATGGCAAATTATTGATTCTCAATGGCATAGCAATATCATTAGGAAGTTTTTTACGTTTTTCTCAAAACTGCTAAAAATGAGTTACGCAATTCGGTTATTAGCGTGACGATATTTTAACCAGAAAATAGCTCAACAAATGAACGAGACTGCAATTAAATTCAGCTTCGGCACGAGGCCAATTGTTTTACACTTTTGCGTCTGTAACACTGTAAATATTGGTAATAAAATAAAATTTCTTATGCCACACTTACAAGAGCCCGGGTGTCTAGGCCGTAAGGATTTTTGGCTCCAGGTCTATAAATCTTGTCCACCCCTGTACTAGATTGTAGTATATTGCCAAGCTAAACTTTTGAACTTGTTTTTCTCTTACTAATATAGGTGATAATTCCTCTCTTGTGGCAATCGCTGCCTCACACACAAAACTGGAAGGTGGTTATAACAATGGACTCAATGTACTCGGGATTATTACATTCAGTGCAATATTTGGAATATTTTTAGGAAGAATTGGAAAAAGAGTAGGTTTAATATTGAGTTATTTTTTGAATTTTAGAAGTATATTGGAAATATTTGCATGTGCGCGATGGACTAGCGTTTCAAGCTGACATGGGAAAACTGCGGCCCGCGGGCCAGATCCGGCCCTTTGAGTAATTCATTCTGGCCCGCCTGATGCTGCCACAGCCTAACTAAAACCAAATTTTGATATTTTAACCGAAAAATAGCTCAACGATTTTGTTGAGACTGCAATTAAATTTAGTTTCCGCACGGGGCCAATTGTTTTCCACTTTTGCTTTTGTAACACTGTAAGCTTTGTTCATAAAATGTAACTTTTTACGTCACACTTACATGGCCCGCCAGTTTAGGTGGGCAAAATTTTGGCCCCTAGTTCAAACACCTTGCCCATCTCTGGTTTAAAGCAATGAATCTAACTAAGTTCGCATCTCAGGTTCAAAGTCAAAAGCCCATTCTAATCAAATTAGGTAGACAATGTCGAATTGTAAATAATCCTTTCCTTCCAAAAATAATAGCTATCGTTAGATATCACTAAATGCTTGTACTGGGCCTTGATCGGAACACAAGACGTGCGTAATAGCCGTGTAAAAAAGAATTGGACTTTACTCTATTGTGTAATTTTCGGTATGATCTCCAACCCTCCATTTACCGTTATATAAGTAGTAAAACCACAGAATAGGATTATTATTTGCCTAAATAATATTCTAACCTTTGTTTTACAGGGTGAAGTCGTCACTAAATTTTTCGTCGGATTTAATGACGTCATAATGAACATTGTTAGTTTTATTATGTGGTTATCACCAGTCGGTATTGCTTTCTTGATCGCAGGAAAAATTGCCGAAGTTGAAAAGCTGGAAGAAATTATGGCCAAGGTAAATAGAATTTATAAATTTTATATTGAATAGAAACTGGACGCAGGTGAATTTCGACATAACCCTAACCTGACCATAATTCACGCCTAACTAAATTCATCAACTTTATTTGGCCATCTCAACTCAGAAGTAGCATGGGCTCATTCATAAGAGAAAAATTACGCGCGAGAACTGAATTATCTAAAGCTTCTTAAACTATTACATTTATGGTGGTGTAATATGCGCCAACGAATTCCAATTGAAGCGAGAATAAAAGCGTTCATGTTAGCCACATGAATATATATAATGTAAAGTGACTTCATTTTATTTCAGCTTGGTCTTTATGTTGTCACGGTGTTAACAGGAACGTTGATTCATGGTTTTATTACTTTGCCTGCCTTGTATTTTGTCACCACAAGGAAAAATCCGTTCAAGTTTATTGCTGGAATGTCCCAAGCATTGTTGACAGCGTGGGCTACTGCTTCTAGGTGAGAAATCTGACAAATTTATTAAACTCCCAGTGAACCTATTGGTCATTTTGCTAAATAAGACTAAAAAAAATTGCTTTTCTTTTCAATCAATGAGCCAAATAATTGTAATTGTTTAATACTCGCAGAGGCAGAATAAGTCCTTAGAAAATTTTTCCCTTTATTTTTTCACGTTTTCTCTGAGTTCAACAACATCGCGATATTTCACTCCAAATTTTGCTGACCTTCACAATTCACGAACACTACTTAATATGACATTTGTTGCTAACATTTTAGTGGCATTTTATTGGCTATATATATTAATCATTTCTCTCCCGTGTCCATATATTTCAGCATTGCTCTTGTTGTATTGCAGTGCGCATTCATGTTTTAGTAAGGTTATACCTATGTCATGTGAGATGTTAAATAAATTACGAATAACGCTCAAATTCAAACAAATGTACCACTATTTTTAATAAATAACCTGTTATTATTACAGTTCAGCCACCTTGCCAATTACTTTCAAATGCACCGAAGAAAAGAACGGAATAGATAAGCGAGTGACCAGGTTTATGCTTCCAGTAGGTGCAACGGTTAACATGGACGGGGGAGCAGTTTATGAAGCTGTATCCGCTCTATTCATAGCTCAGATGCAAGGATATCCAATCGATTTCGGTAAGCAATATTCGTGTTTCCTTGTACGCAGGACATGATGCGGTGATCACATCAAGAATTATTACACCGCTAGTTGACGCAATGGTGCCTTATTTGTAGCAAATAATGTGACAGCCACCTAAACGATTCGTTAATATCCGTTTCGGACAGACCTTTGAACAGAGTCGAGTCATATTTATTATAGGCGCCAATTACCAACTCTCGTTGCTGAAAAATTCCTACTCCCGGGTTGTAAAAACTTTGGACTACGAATCAAATTTTACAACATAAACTTTGCAACCAATAGTTACATGAAACTAACTACCTTTCCTTGCTCAATGCATTTGTGTAGGTGGATTCGTATGCGTATAAGGCAAGGATGCTATAGCAGGAGTAAAATTAAATACAAACTTTGCAAGCTAGCATTCTCCAATATACTGTCAAATTGCTTATTAAACTAATGATTCCGCATGTTTCCGAATTCCGAAGAAAATTTTGACTCATTACATCAAATATTAAAGTCTGAAATATCGACTTTGTTTCCAGAATCTGTAGGATTTTTGGCTCCGACGCCAGGGAGCTTGAAAAGACTCCGACTCCAGTAAAAATATGCCAAACTCCAACTTTACAATCCTGATTTCAAAGACATGTTTCTATTATTTTCTTTCGTTGATTTCTCTAGGAACGATTCTTACTATCAGTGCAACAGCGACTGCGTCTAGTGTCGGTGCAGCTGGTGTTCCTCATGCGGCGTTAGTTACAATCATGATCGTTTTACAAGCCTGTGGTCTTCCAGTCACTGATATACCCTTGCTTCTAGCTGTGGACTGGTTATTGTAAGTACTTCGTGTTTGTTGTAAATGTTAAATATTCTAAAGAAAGGGAAATAAGTGCAAAAATAATATCCATCCAAAAATTTGACTGATATTTTAGTCAAAAACCGTGTCATGTTTGAGTCATCAGTGTGAATATGTAAAAAAATCCACTTTTTCCGTTTTGTTCAATAAATTTGATTTCAAGCAATATAGCTCTTACTTTTTAGGCTCATTTATAGTAAAATTTCTTTCGATTAAATCTTTTGTCCATATTCGCGATGCCGATATTCCGACTGATTTTGCCAGCTTTCTGTTATTTCAATATCTTATTTTTATGTCTTATTTTATATAAATCGATTACTAATCAAGTTCTTTACACATTATGTCATTTTCAAAAATACCGGCAATACGCAAATTTCCTATCCTTTTCTAACATTAACATATGATTGCTGATATACAATTGCCCAGTACTTCATTATTTTATAGGCCTGACTTAATTTATATATTTCATATACAGGGATCGTTTCCGAACCATGGTAAACGTATTTGGCGATGCAGTGGGAACAGGTATTGTAGCTCACTTATCTCGCAAAGAATTATCCAGCTCAGAATATGCTGACAATTCAGAAAGTGACGAAAGTTTGAATTCAAGCTCTTCATACAAAAGTAATTTAAGTTTGCTTATGAAACAGAATGGTAAATGTACACGTAATAGAGTGGTTATATGACGCAGGTCATCAATTTAAGTTTAATAATTTCGCGTTTTGCATCGCTTTCACAGTCCGAAATCCAAAGCGAAATAACATGGTACTCAATGGGGCTTTCCCACTATATGCATTGCACTTATAGATCTTGTTTTCACTACCCCTATCGGACTATCCCGAGCAAATGCACATGGCCCAGGGTGCCAGCTTAGTGATTTACTAATTTAATTGGACACGAAATGTAAATTGGGATCGTTATGTCAATATCTTATTGTTCTTCTTATTTTCCATTTCCTTGTTATCATTTTTTTCTGCGAAAAAAAATCGATTTTCTCTTTAACTAATAAACCTATTGGTTTGAATTTTTCAGTGGTTATAGATAGTATTTTTTTGCTAGGAGGCTATTACTTCATTTATGTCAAAAATTTCTGCGGCCTCTATGAAATTCTTTTTTTGTGTGCGATGTTGTTATCAAAATTAAAAAATGGGCAGCGTGCCGTGGTTCCGTGACCGCATTTTAGCGATTTCGTGGTCATACTACCGGTACTGTAAAAGATTTGATACTACTTCGTTTTGGTCTTCGTGTCTATATATTTGAGAATTGCGCTTTTGTTTCAATTTATACTTGGTTCAGAATATTTTGCATCAGGTATTCAACATCAATTTTTCTTTTCTTCCAGAATCAAGAGATGATCAAATAACCATTGTGGACTCTGTGAGTGTTGTGTGATGACAGTATTTTCACTGGAGAAGAATCGTCTTATCTACATAGTTAAAACCAATAAAACCTTGTGAATACCGATTTCAATCGCATTCAGAAAAGAATGGAACGAACGCGGATATATTAAATGACTGCTGTGTAAAATTGAAAGCAATTTATTGTAAAACTGATCCATTTTATGGATTTTCATTCTAAATGTCTTTCTCATCGTCTTTTGACGGTAATAATTCCTACAAAAATTCGCTTTTCTTGCTGAAATTAGTTACTAATTTTTAATGTACACCTCGAAGTTCTTTAAAGTTCGAACAAAAAAAACGCAATATGAAACAAAGTTTAATTAAAAACTGTTTTATTCTCGCTTACTTATTCCTAATAACTACATTTAATATGCTTACTGTGCCACGCTATGCAAAATACTAGTTGCACATTCACTGGATTTTTATATGCGACACTGTTTCTTTTGTTTGTTTATTTATATACTTTTATTTATATCTGGTTGCTTCTTATGTTTCTAAGTTATTTTAAACTAATATAATGATATTAATATAAACATGACATAATGCTCAAAAACGTGAATCAATTTCTGTTTTAATATACACAGTGTTGTTTATTGCAGCGTTTTTCACCGTTTGGTTAATAAATTTTCACATCACCGTCTTTGGTGATGATTGGAAAAAATGACTTTGCTGGGATCTATACGCAGGGGAATGCCATATTTGTTATTATCGTCATATAGGATAGGTTGGCTTAGAGAAGAGAGAGAGAGAGAGAGAGAGAGAGAGGAGAGAGAGAAGCAATGGTACAATTAAATATATACAAAATAGGATCGTATATTCTATAAAGAAATATCATGTACATTTAAATTATTTTCTTGGTGTATCTTTATTTATCTGTCACAGAGATAAAAATTAAGGAGCTTTATAGTTTAAAAATAAAATGAAAGATGTGAATGAAATGCTTGCTTTCTAATTTTGGCCTGCGACGGTAACAAGAAGCACCATAGTCCCCAGTGAATTATGAGGATGCGTAGAAACGTCTAAAAATTGACTAAAGGGCTCTCCAGAAGTGTATGTACCAATATGGAGGTAACTAATTTTGTTCGCCTATTTTACATCAAGTTGTGTAAAGGGACTTAAATCTAGGGGCAGGGGGTATATTCACTTGGCTAACACAGACAGTCCCCAAACTCGTAATAGAACTAAAATAATGAAAATTGGAATAAAAATATGGCCTTACCCTAACCTGATACACACGCTACGGGAGTACCGAATAACGTAGGGTCTTACTTTGAAACATATTTCGTGAACATGCTCTAATGAGAGTCTAATCTAATCAAGCGTACTATTTTGCTCACGTTAAGCTGGGTAAAGTTGAAATTTTTGGATGAAGCACGCGCGATATAATCTCATACAAACGTGGCAACCCGTAATCAAGAGCTTACCTTAAACGACACAAAGGGCTGCGAGGTAATGCTGAACCTTCAACTGAGATTATTTCACCCATTTGCTGGGAAATATGATCACATACAGATAAATCACGACCAATTATTCCAGAAATGTAACTGAAAGCTCGAAGTTACTTGAAGAAACGCATAACCTGGTAATATTGTTGCTCGCACTACCCACTTCACTTCATACCTTGGACCCGCTTGATTTGGTACAAACTTATGGTAACTTAATTAGACTAACAGATAAATTCAAGTGAAATAAACTACGTGTTTTTTGTTTACGTGTCAAACTTATCATGATTATAAAGTACGCAAGCGGTAGATAATCCATTTTCAAAGTACCGGTGAGTTTTGAAAACAAAGTATGGGCTACTAAAGTTCATGAATTTTGCTCCCGTGTTTGAGTGAAGGGTTTTAATTTTCGTCATTCATAAACAGTTGCTGCAGGAGTTTTAGAAATTTTAATTAATACATAGCTTGGTTTTCTTATTAAAATGAACATAATTGTACCTAAAACAGGCGTGTGGGCAGACTATATTTTCTGCTATCCACCGCGCCCTAAAGTGCTCATAAAATAACTATTTCTAAATAAAAATTACCGAAATATAATATTGGGCGCTCCAGAAGTGTGTGTACCAATATGGAGGTAACTCATTTTGCTCACTTGGATAACACACACAGTAGTCCCCGAACTCGTAGTATAACTAAAATAATAAAAATCGGAATAAAATTATGGCATAACCCTAACCTGGTACAGTACCAGAAAATGTGTAGGTTCCAGAAAAATTTAGTGGATTTATTGGATTTCCGGGCGTCGTCTTTCATTTTCAGTGTAAAATAGCCCGCAGAATTAACAATGAAGCACTGGTGCCTTTGTCTTTGACGGTGGGATTTTGATTTGGCAGACCTAATATTATTTATTCAATGATACGATCATTTTTTCATCAAATATAAAAATTTACTTTTTTCACAAAATTACCATCACGCTATAAGCAGTTTAAATGCAGTCGATCATCGAAAGAAAACTGAGAAGCTCGCGAGAATACAAAAGTGACAGTAATTCATTTTCGCAAAGTCGTCGTTTTGCTGAATTTCATTAACAGGCTGCATTCAAAAATTTATTTAGAATTAGAGAAACTTCAAGAACTTAATCTAAAAGGATGTAACTTAGAAACTGTGCCGAAGTAGTACTAAAAATGATAGAAAGGTATTTACTATTTCCAATTAATATTCAAGGGATTAGGCCTTGAGCTGTCTGTTTATTGGTTGGTACCCTTTGGACATTTATATATTTGCTTGCGTACCCCCCAAATTGCTATACGTGCTGTGATTGGACAAAATAAATCATGTGGAATACGGAAGTAGACTTGTTAGTTACTCTACTCTAGTTGTAGTTAAAGCTTCTACTGGGATTGGAATGTTACTTTGCAGAGAGTTATGGAAAGTATATCGGGACCTCCTAAAGTATGCGCACCGAGATGGCGCACAACCTGAACTCAGGTTGTGTACCAGGTTAGGGTTCAGGTTATGCGACATCTTGGTGCGCATACTTCAGGAGCACCGAATATTCTTATATACTTAAATATACTTAATCCAATGTACCTCTTGAAAAGTCAAAATGTAACTCTACATGTAATCTTGTTTTGGAACCCTGGCTTAGGCAATAAAAGTCGATGAAGCTCTACTAATAGATATTGTATAATCCATATTAGGGCAATTTGTCAGATTTTGGAATATTCCGAATTAAAAATTTGTTTAATATAATGTTTAATCTTAACCACACTTGATGGGTATGCTTGGCTGACAAATGGCGCCTTTCAACGTGTTTTATAGTGTACAAAAGTAGCGATGTGTATCTTACCATCGGTTGCGGTAAAGAAAGTAAATAAATCCGCCCAGTAAGAATTTTTTTTTATTGCTGAACAGTTAGCAGACGTGGAGGTTAGTATACTTTATTTAGTTCGTATCAATTTTGTGCGAATATATTGAGTAATTGAAGAACACAGTTCAAATTATATATAAGAAATTTCATCTTCTGTATTTTACTAACTTGCTCGTTATACTCGTCAGAACAGAATTGCGTTATGTATATTGATGAGAATAAATTGCTTTTACGTGAGAATTTTTGCAAAATCGATGATATTTAATTGTAAGTATTGGAATAGAACCGTATTTGCGCTGCCATAGTATAACCTAGTACAAAGTATACAGTAGCGCTAATAAAAGTACTACAATCCGAAATTATGCATTGTGGAGAATTGTATATATGCCTAAATCATTAAACTTTTATATTAGTCAACGGTATTTTATTATGAACCTGACAGATTTACGAGATATAGAAATGCAAATATCAGCTCATAAAGTTACTAACCGTCAACCATTTACTGATTACTGTAAAATAATGTCTAAACTAAGCTGTAGTTAGTAATAATATATGTTATCAGTGTCCAAGCTCAATTGAAGCCGATCCTTAACTGCTCATCTATGATTAATAATGATAGTGGTCCGATAAGCGCGGTAAAATTGAGTTACGGTATACACTTCCATGTACTTGTGAACTGCCGTTTTGCAATAAACTTTTTTATTATCATGTGCCTTATTACAAATATTTACCATATATTCTCTCTTATTTTGAAAAGGGATGCAAAACGGGCAACATGGCTTAATATAGCCAAGAGAAGTGCCCGGTACTCCCGTAGTATATGTGTACCAGGTTAGGCCATTAATTTTATTCCGATTTTCCCTATTTTAGTTTTAGTATTACAAGTTCAGGACTGTTTGTGTCAGCCTAGTGCAGGGTCGTCCAACCTGTGGCCCGCGGGGCACATGTGGCCCGCCGAGGAGTTTCGAGTGGCCCGCGCTGTATTTTCGGAATTAAATAAAAAAAATGAGTAAAAATTCTATTTTTCGAGTGATGTAGTTAATATGAAGATTTGATACAAACAATTTGTTCATTTTCTAAAATGCGCCCTGCTAGGCCTTTCAAACGAGCCATTAGCGCCATTTTGAATCGAAACCAACTGGAAGATATCGATACATAAATAGTAGCTTACACACTTGGGCAGAATGGCAGTTTCAATGACCTCGTTATTTGGCAGCACTTACTTGTACAAGCAAGTTTTTTCACAGATGAACCATGTCAAATCCCCTGTGAGATCACTAATTTCTCACAGTCATATGGAAAATTTGCTTCGCATTGCTACGTCGTCAATTTCAGCGAATATTGACAAACTTGTTAGCCAAACTTCACACTAAAATATCTATGTGTAGAATAAACTTTGTTGACTTTACTGTATCTTCGTTTTTTATTGTTCTTAGTATTAAAAAGTTTGGTGCGAGAGTTTTGTTTGTTTTTTCATTAACTTTTAGTCAGTGTAGCAAAACTAGAACATAATTACCATGTTAAGTGGCCCGCGCAATTATCAGTAAACTAAATGTGGCCCGTCGGCCAAAAAGGTTGGCCGACCCTGGCCTAGAAAAAAATATACCCCCTGCCCATAGGCTTCCGTCCCTTTACACGACTCAACGTTAAGTAGGCAAACAAATGTTACATCCATATTGGTACACATACTCCTGGAACTCCGCCAGAAGTACATACTGTATGAACATGTTCATTTACTGTAAAATATAAGTAAAATTGCCCAATACTATAGTTTTTAGCAGATTCTTATCGGTACACATAATTGAAGTGTGAGAATGCTTCTCGATTAAACGACATGTTATTATGGTAATGTAACTTCTGTATCCGGAATATCACGACTACTGTACAGAAACCACAATGATTCCCGGCTGTTTAATAGGGTTGTGGTCGCAATATATTTCCCTCCCGCAACGCCATCAGATAGCACTGTAATAAAATCTGTATATCAAAGTGAATTTTCAGTTAAAATCAAGGTATATCTACGTATAGTTGCATAATAAAAAGCAATTTGAAAAACAGACGATTTATCTTCATTTTCTGGATATATGTCAATTTCGATCCGTTCTATTTTTAGAAAAAATCGTCGAGTATAATCTTAGCTCGGGCTAATAACAGTGCCAAGGTCAAGTCCATTTGTATAGATTTCGTCATTTTCCACGACGCCGAACTGAAACCAAAACCACCGTGTAACACGATATGACGATTTGCCATGTGTGTTTTTCCACTTTGGGCTTTGATAGCATATGGTTTTGCATTCGACTGCCCAAATGTCTTTATAAATGTTCTTATTCGG